CCGTGCATCTCTGCAATGCCACGAGCAAGTATGCCGCCAAATGCACCCGCAAGTGTTGCTGCGGAGAAGAATAATGCCATTCGAAAGCCACACTCATGTCTGCAGTACCACTGTGTGATGTAGTAGTTGACGCCGGGAAACAGCCCCCTTCAAATACACCGAGAAACACTCGGGTAGCCATCAGTCCTGAGTAGTCCTTCACAAATCCCTGGCCAATCATTGACGCAGACCAACAAACCATAATGAATGTCAGCCAGATCGACGGTCTGAAGCGCTTCATCATCATGTTGCTTGGAATCTCGGCCGCGATGTAAAATGGAAACAGAATAGCAATGCAATCATTGTACTGAATGCCTCGTAGCTTTAGGTCTTGTTCTAGGTGATCCAGTCTGGCATTGCCGATGTTCGTCCGGTCTAGAAAACAAAGTCTTAGGCCGAGTCAGTATCGTACGGCAGAATGCAACAGTCAGATTGCAGGAATGGCTCTTCGATTTCCAGACTTACAGGTAGATCAAGCTCATAAAAGGAATGATATGCCAATCCAACTTTCTTAAAAGCTTCTTGGTCGAGCTTGCGTCAAAAGCTTGCGATTCGACAATTTCAACGGACTCGGCGCGAGCTGTCTTTTCAGACCTCAACCCACTATCAGATTCCATGTCGATAAGGAATCTCCTCAAAGAGATGCGGCAATACAAGAATTCGAAGTGGATTAAACCAATTTTCGTTCAGGTAAACTTGGCTTTGCGGGGTGATCGCGGCTGCCGAAGTCAAGCTTTTTAATCCCACGATTTTCCCATCGTGGTCTCCCTGTCAGCATGTCTTACCAAAGCTCTAACGATCGCCACCGCTAAAAGAGCAGCAAGCTGACGAGAGCTAGCTTTAAAGGATTGCAATGGAACATGCAGGTAAGACAAGGGGTAGGACACGCCCTCGTTTTCTAGCCAATTGACCTGGAACACAGCATGCATATCGTCAAAGTCCAACAGCTGCTCAAGGGATAGAATCCGCGAGCGCTGAGGGCCGAGTATCAATGTCCGCGAGATCTGTTGCAACCTTCCCAAAGTGGCGCTGAGATTGGGGTCACATCGCAAGTCATATTTCCTACTTTTGGTTACCGTTGGCGTGTTTTGATGTTACACACGACGCCAAAGACAATCGCTGCTTACCGCCGAGACAGATAGGCGTGATCGACTCGCTGAGCAAGTAACCAATTGGAGTATAAGCGCATGCAAGTTGGAATGCATGGCGATGAATAAGAAAACGGTTGGGCAGACAGACAGGCCTAGGCTCCCCGGTTGCTTAAATGCTGGAGGGTAGCTGCATTCGAGATGCCTGATTTGGTTACAAACAAAATGCAGCTCTGGGAAAATGGCGCTAGAGTAATTAATAGTAATCGGGGGTAGCGTTGATTTTTGGAGTTGACGGGGTATTCGACTGGCAGCTCGATAAGCAATGATTGTTACCAGTAATCATTAGTAGGTGTTAGACTTTCTCAGTGCATCATACGAATGCAACGTTGTGATCAGCTACTCACTTATTTGGACGTGGATGGTGAAGTTGCGGGTCGGTCATGTTTAGAGAGTATGGCACCTTCCAAGCAAAAGCCTAACTCTTCCTAGTCAGGAGTAAGATACAAAGTCACACGTCGTCAAAGCGTTTCGTACGTCCTATATTAAGGCGCAGTGCATATCTGATTACACCGCCATCGCGCAACAACTTGAACCAGTGACATAAGTCTTATACAGGTTCCTCTTCAATGAAAAGTCTTTTATCAACTCTTTCCCTTTCGTTTCTTCACTTGCATCGAAGGCAGAACTGAGGAATTATCTCCAAGGAATTCATGTTGAATGACCAACGTCAGAATCAGATATAAGATCTAAGATTTCTCCCGAAACGACGACCTCAATAGCTAGACAGTACTGCGCAGTTATCTTTCGGAACATACCATCATCACTTACAACACAGGATTGTTAAGCCTGAATTGGTCAACTCGGCTCAAAAGGGGAGATACCCACAATTCCAAGTGGTTTGGCTACTAGGTTCGTTGTCAAATCTCCAATGCGTTTGGCACTACCAGCAGCCCCTAAGTCGAACTGATGGATCCATAGTATTTAGTCTCTCTAAAGGGCCCCTTGATTGCGTTTTGTAAACCCAATGTGTGATCCACCAGGGAGAACACAATTTTCGCAGAGTTGTATACCTCTTGCAGCGACGATATGTCAGGTTCGGAAGCCCAGGCCTATCATGTCCATGAGTTGTCACACACCTCGTCGTCTAAAATACTTTTAGAGAACTTTCCATCATGTTCATTAAATAGGTTTTAGCCTGCAGTACTGTAGAGAGCTTCTTCCCGGTTCTGGCGACCTTATCGTGTAACTCTTTGCACTTGACCTGTCACACGTGCCCTTTTTTCACGCTAAATCTTCTTCAGGTGGTAAAATGTTGAACAGAAATGCACAACTGCGAATGCTTCCTCAATGGATTGGCCAAAACGACATCTTGTATTACCAGGATACGTCATCACACATGTTAACGCTTGACGCACACCATGGATTCTATCACCAGACTCAGCGATGGACACTCATGTCATGGTTTTAGGACCTGAGAGCCGCCAGCTCTTCGTTAGCTATTCAATTTTGAAAGTTAATGAGAAGTCTTCTTACGATAAGATCAACTCGGCCAATAACACCGCCACCCCGCCGCTCCCAACCCGCTTACGGTTGCGTAACCCAGCCATACGCAGATTTGAGCAGTAATTTATGTGGCAAGCAAGGACAACTATACGCTACGATCATGGTATGGGGAAAAAAGGCTGATCAAGGGAACACCAATACAGTACCATCGATAGTAATGACAGGCTAAAGCGAGCTTGGAGACTAATTAGAATCAAATAGGAGCATTGTTACCTCCGTCTTGATGGATAAGAGAACGGCGCGTTTTGCATATGGGACCGATGGGCCTTTGCATGTGCTGCTTGAATTTCCTTCAAATTAAAGAAACAAAATTCTTTTCCTGAGCTATCCGAAATCCCTGTGAGCAAGAAGAGCCCACAGAGCCTATGGGGAATTAGGAAGTAGCAGAACCTAGCCTTTCCAGCATGGTCCATAATACTTTTTATCTGGTTATGGATATTAAGTTTATTCAGCCGGAGGTGTTACTGCCAAAACTTGGAAAGGGAAAACAAGTTTTCAAATTTTAAAGGACCTGCACGTTGCAGTTACCAAAGGCCCGGGAAATAATGATGAGATTATCTCCAAGACATATAATACATTTCCGGGCCGCATGCCGATTGAGAATCTCATGGTTCTCCGATGTCTTCGAAAAGCTATTTCGATCGCATTGGCCGCAGTATCCAGATCGAATTTTGGGAACCTGATTCAGAAGATCGCTGCGTGTGAGTGGTCTATCTCACGGCATAAGGCTCGGCATTGAAGTGACACGATGGTGCATCGTATCGCCGCGTTGCAGAATGGGTAATTAAGGGGTATGTCATCAGACGGGAACATCAATAGCCGAATCTCCTTAATATTATCAAAAATGAAGCGAACGGAGGTTCGACCTCCGCGAGCCGTGACGTGTGTCCGTTGACTCCGCTGAAGAACCAATAAGGAGACCAATTTATCCCCGCCTTCCCTGCTGATGCTGTACGCCGAGACTCACCCCGCGAAGTCCTCCAGACGTCTCTTCGGCAAAGAAACAGAGCCAAGATCAAATCGATCCACATGCTGCATTGCGCCCCTGAGCTACTGGTGAATCAGCTGACAGCAAAGTTAGCAGGAACAACAACCATCGACCTTGGTCTAAGAAAAGCTGGTCCTGCAGGATGATGGTCGCGGCGAACCCAGAAAGTCATTGGCAAAGGCCGCTGCATGTGCAAGCGAACCAAAGTTGAAGGAGGTCTGATGAGAAATCACCTTGACAGACACTCTTTAAAACCCTAACTTGTATCTGAAGTCCTAAACATTTATCCGTTGAGTCTGTTTTTCTTTTACGGTTTGGACTTGAGCTCAATTGAAGTCAAGTCACTTGATGAAAGCTCAAGACCTTGAAATAGCCACAAGTTGCTCCCTGTGGCCGGAAAAACTTGGTGTTTTCTTGGCAGAAACATGCAAAACTTTGATCGAGGACAGAGTACTTGAAATCGAGAGGAGTACAGCTATCTGGACATGTGTCGCCTGAGTGTACCACCCAAGGGGTTTGTGAAGCGCCGAGACGGGTCAGGGAGCTCCTGCCGAACCAGTTCGGACGGTAAACTAGCGAGTGCCGAAGGTGGCTGCGATCGGCGAAGTATCGCGGCCGTTCTTGACAACCGTCATACATCTCTACCCGTACATCCCGTACTTGTTCAACACCTCTTGCCGTCGCCGAGACCTTGGCTCTTGAAAATAAGACTTGGCTCATAACCACCCGGCCGTCACAACCCTCTGTGTCGACACCTTTAACCAATAGTGCAACTACCCCTCCGTGTACAAGACCTTGGCAACCGTTTGGAATATGGAGATTTCCGGCTCGAAAAGACATTAGTCTGTGGTCCAAGGATAGTCTGTTTCTCGGAAAAGCTCAACTCTCGCAACATTGCACGTGGGCCCTTGTCGCATACGGGAAGTTCGCTCCGACTAATTTTGGCTATTACTGGATGTAGTAAGAAAAATAGGAATATTGTCCAAAGTTACAAGGGGTCTCTGTGAGAAATACCGCTTTCACGCTTGCTATCCACCAAAGTATCAATCCCTTTTGGTTGACAACAAGGTCTGAGCTTTTGGATAGAGCACGGAACTCTACGCGAAGATGCCGGACTTTGGAAGGCCAGTGTAGATCACTTCGGCGAGCCCCATTCCGCAACAGGGAGAGAAAGATGCTTAGAGGTTGTGTCGAAAGCATAAGTATCGTGGAGGTTTTCATGTTAACCATAAGTTTGAATTCAATCCTCACCTCGCTTTCGTCGCTTCTGTTCTTGTCACTCAACAGGCGCCTATATAGTTACTTTGGACTCATTCAAGATGAAGTACACGTTCACGACACTCTCCATGCTGGCCATGGCTGTGGCTCAGCAGGCCGGCACCGAACAGTCTGAGACACACCCCAAGCTGAGCTGGCAAAAGTGTACATCAGGTTCCTGCTCCATTATTAACGCAGAAGTCGTCATCGATGCCAACTGGCGTTGGATTCACGAAGTCGGGTAAGCATAAATTTTAATATCGCTGCCAACTTCCCCCCCTTTGTGATGAGGCAGATCCAAGACCCCATGTTTGACTAACAAATCACATCAGCGGATACGAAAACTGCTATGAGGGCAACTCATGGACCGGAAAATGCTCAAGCGCGGACGACTGTGCTAAGAACTGCGCCATGGAGGGAGCCGAGTACGGTGGCACTTACGGTGTTTCAACCAGCGGAAACGCCATGACGTTGAAGTTTGTCCAGGAGCACTCGTACGGCAAGAACATCGGCTCTCGCATGTACTTGATGAACGGAGACAGCAAGTACCAAATGTTCACTCTGATGAACAACGAGTTTGCATTTGATGTCGACCTATCCACGGTTGAGTGCGGTCTTAACAGCGCCCTCTACTTCGTTGCAATGAAGGAAGACGGCGGTCTCTCCTCTGAAGCCAACAACAAGGCTGGTGCCAAGTATGGTACTGGTTATTGCGACGCTCAGTGCGCCCGTGACCTGAAGTTTATCGGTGGCAAGGTAAACCTCACCCAGCTTCTAAGTCTTTTCAACCCGTAGATGGGGCTCGAACTAATACCCAAATCCAATAGGGCAACATCGAAGGTTGGGAGTCTTCTGACACCGACGACAGCGCCGGTGTTGGCAACATGGGTGCCTGCTGTGCTGAGATCGACGTTTGGTGAGCCTCCTGCACAACTCTCTTATGAAGATGCAAATGCTAATACCGTTGCCAGGGAGTCCAATGCTCACGCCTACGCCCTGACTCCTCACCCTTGTGAGGACAACAACTACCACGTCTGTGAGGGCGACACTTGTGGCGGTACTTACTCCGAAGACCGCTACGGAGGCGGCTGCGATGCTAACGGATGCGACTACAACCCCTACCGTATGGGTAACCCTGATTTCTATGGGCCCGGCAAAACCATCGATACCACAAAGAAATTTACCGTCATCACTCGCTTCCAGCCTGATCGCATGTATCAGGTCTTCATTCAGGACGGCAAAACTATCACAGTCCCTGGTGCGAAGTGGGAGGGTGTTCCGGAGACCTCTGAAATCACCCCTGACTACTGCGAGTCTCAGTTCGCTGTTTTTGGCGAGCGCGATCGCTTCAATGAAGTTGGTGGTTACACTAAGCTCAACGCGGCCCTTGAGATTCCAATGACTCTTGTCATGTCTATTTGGAGCGACGTAAGTCTTCTACGCGATACTATAAGGTCTATTACAAAAGCTTACCTTCCTGTAGCACTACGCCAACATGCTTTGGCTCGACTCTACCTACCCTCCTGAGAGAGCTGGCGAGCCCGGTACCGAGCGTGGACCCTGTGCCCCGACATCTGGCGTTCCCGCTGAGGTCATTGAACAGTTCCCCAACTCCCAGGTTGTCTGGTCAAACATCCGCTTCGGCCCGATCGGCAGCACCTACAACATCAACGCTTAAGATGTTTGACCTTGGAATGCCAGGGGTTTTCGACATCACTTTGATCGCTTTACCTTCTTACATGGAACATCACTACATGATTTTCTGTACATAACTTCTTTTTCCCGTTGATCGTTTAGGATTCTGTTTGATACTTTTCCACTTTTCACATTGTCTATACAGACACACTCATAAAGTTGTCCTTTGCCATTAAACTTTGCACATATTTTGCGGCCCCTTACGGCACTCATAATCTCAATCATGCAGTGCCAATTAAGTAGTGTGCTAAGGGGCTGGATCACAGCGCCCTTCTGGTGAGGTAGGTTTCCGGCGGGAAGGTGCATGTGGTCTAAGCAGCTTAAACCCTCGGCACTATCTCACCCTAGAGATAAGCCAGCAGACTAGACGCATCTAAGTGCCATCACAATTTCTTGCCGCAGCTCTATATAAGGATTCAGCCAGCTATGAGTTTCGGTGGCGGGTATCATAACCTTTTATATTTCCTTAACCGTCTTCTATATTCAACATCAATAAGATATAGGATTATGTCCGCCTAAATGAGATTCGGGTGCGTTGTTTTTAAGAGACAGTATCTTAACAACTATGGCATTTTGCTCTACAATCAATATAAGTGATCCAGAGCATCGATTTTCTGACCAAATTCCTGATCCAAGGGCATTTCGATGATCGGGAATGGCCATATAGTTTTTCGCTGACAGACTGTACAACCCAGAAACCAGTGTTCTCTAGACCCTGACGCACCATTCTGACATACCTTAGGAGAAAATCTACGGTTGAGTCAGGTAATGAGTATGGTCATATCTAAGATAGAGTTAATACATCTTCTGATGTATGTGCATCATCCCAGCCAAACTAAAAGCTGGTTAGAACCCAAAACGAAAACGGCGAACCGCACGAACTAGAACTTATAGCTAATCGGCATCTATCATCTGTTAATTGGCTGCTTAACGGTCTGCATTGGTAACCATGCATATCTCCGTCTGGGTTAGCCAGGTTCGCCGATAAGGAAAGGATTTTAGTTTGCGGTGCCGCTATGAAGGCTACCAAGGATGACAGAGTGCTTTGGACTGTACTGGGGGATCAAAAACTTCTTTGAGAATGTCCCTGGCAGTGATGGAAACAGTCGAGAGACCTAGATTCATCATGATCCTGGGAGTCATAAAGCATCGAAACAATTCGAATTTTGTTGGGCATTGAGTCGTAAGAGAAAGAAAGTCAAGGGGATCGAACAATTAGCCAAGGTTTTTGTACGCGATTGGGCAAGTCCAACAGTAGGAGCACGGGCGTAGTGAATCAGAATCCGCTTACAGCTCAAACACAGAGCGAAAGCGAGAGGCTTGAGCAGGGGTAGCCCTGGGGGAGAGAGTCTCTTGGTTGGTCAGTGAAGAGAGCCAAACGTCAGTCGCGGACGCTAATGCAGCCTGCTGACGCGCTAAAATTTGGTTCAAATAGTTGTGGGCCTTATATCCGTTCAACATACACCCTCCTCGGTATTGCTTCGCCTCGCCGATGACAACAACAGAGAGTCTGGATTAGCAATCATCTCATGATAACAGCCGACAAGAAGAACGTAGTAGCCGCCAGGTGTTTTTCTCTTCGGGATACAGCAGTAGCCTTTGGGTCATGGAAGCCTGCAAAGAGCTTAGCCTTCGAAAAGCCTACTAAGTCATCCGAACCAAAAACCGAGTCATTAAGCCCCCCACCATTGAAAAAGGTATCGCCGCCGATTCGACGATCAACGTTGCAATCTTTGCGGGAGTACCCCTAATACTTCGGCAGTGGAAACAGTCAGCAGGCTGCATATATTCCATGATACAACCAGTCTCATTTCGAGGCTCTGCATTTCCCTTTTGCTCATCGACGTCCAGTGTCTAACCGTCACTTCGTTGGCTTGGCCTCTCGCATACCAACCTTTGACCAATACCGTTTGAAGAAAACTCCCCGGACCTAGAACCATCGACGGCAATGGAACTTTGTTTCAGTCCTGGGGCAGCAGTTCCTGCAGGGACTTCGATCCCAGTGGTTGATAATCCTCGACTTGCGGAGTTGAGAGACCCTTCCGAAGACTGGACCGGCGTGACGAGTACGGCGGAGAGGCGGAAATTGCAGAACCGCCTGAACCAGAGGGCTCGACGTAAGTGGTATTGCCATCCATGACCCGTCAGTCTTATTCAGTATAGGCGGCTGACGGATTTCTTATTGTTGTAGGGCGAAGGGCTCAGAAAAAGCTCGGCAAGAATTCTCCATCGGATCCAAGCCCAGAACCAGAACAGGGGCATGGCTCAATGGTAGCGCTTGTGAAGATGGAAACGCGACTCGACGATCAGACCCATATGGCTTCCGATACAGAAGCAGAACCGAAGCGTCCTGAACTCTGCAAAGTCGAGACCCAGATGCAACTTAATAAGTTTGCCGAAGAGGCTTACGAAAACTATCTCAATGGGAGCCCTTCCACTGGCTATCTTACGACCCTTGTTCGTGTAAACGTCTTCCACGCCTTCGTCCGAATAGCCTGCGTCCTGGACTTCGACGGTGGATGGCTCACATATGAAGCAATATCTCCCTTCAACAAGATGGGCCCCGGTCTTGGGTTTGCAGCGACAAGCAGCTCGTGTCCCGAGAACATGCGTCCCACCGAATTACAAGTCGCCGTCGAGCACCACCCATGGATCGACTTCTTTCCCCACCCCACCATGCGAGATAATTTTCTTCGAATCGTCGCTGAACACGGCGAAGACTACATTGATGAGGACGACTTGTGTCGGGATATTGTAGACGTTGGAGCAGGGGCGGGAGTGGAGGATTCAGCCCTCATCGTCTGGGGCGAGCCATGGGATCCACGAGGGTGGGAAGCAACAGAGCCGTTTCTGAGGAAATGGGGCTGGCTTCTGGCTGGCTGCACGGAGATGCTAGAGGGGACGAACTATTGGAGACAGAAGCGAGGATTACCGAAATTTAGGTTCAACTGACCGACTTGGCAGCCCTTACGCATATGCACGATTAGCTAATTGGCAGAGCAGTGGTAGCTTGAGGGACATCACTTCATCACTGAAGGTCTGCTTGTAACTGATCAGTTGCCAGTATGCTATAGTTACAAATTCTTGGACTTTTTCTCTTCGAGAGCATCCAGAAGCTGGAAGAAGTAAGGAAGAAACGCCTCCAATTCGACCTGGAAACCTTCATGGGCCCCTGGAACATTGAGTCGAGGACACTCCAAGATCTTCTCCTGCTCATCCACCGCCTGCGCATACCAAGCGTCCCTACTTCTCGTACCTCTCATAAGCCCGATGCTGGTCTTGTTCTCCTTTATGCGGTACAGACTTGGCAGATAACCTAGAAGGATGGTGAACTCGTTAGCCCAGAAGTTCTCTGGGTTAACTGGCTCTGGCGATACGGGCTTCAGCACCCCTTCATCGGAATACCCGATAAGTTTTGAGCCGAAACGCTTCTCTGCAGCTTGAATACCGGAACTCTCGTACAACTCGAGGCAGTCATACAGAAACTCAAAGACCTCGGTGGCATTCGGCAATAAGGTGAAGGTCGGGGCCTCGTGGGAAATGATGTGGTCGACCATGTCGGGAAAATCGATTGCGAACTGAAACGCAAGGATGCCTCCCGCACTGCTCCCAAAGAGGATGGCCTTGTCAAAGCCAAGAGTTTGAATGATAGCACGAATGTCACGTGCTTGTTGCGGAGGGTTAAATCTTTTGTTCACTTTTGCTTGGCTAGCAGACATTTGGCGCCGGTCGAACGTGGCGCAGGTGTACTTGTCTGATAGTGTAGTGATGATAGGATTGTATTGGCGTCCATGACCGTTGCCTCCGGGGATAAAAACAATGAGCGGTCCTTGGCCTTGGTGCCAAAAGTGTATGTCGCAATCCTCGTTGGTGACGATCGACTTGGTTGGGTTGAACTCCATGATAGCAGCCTTTCGGGGGTATTGGACATGTGTGTAGAACAATTGAATTTGGTAATAAGACGGGCCTGTCGGGAATTCACAAATCAAGCTGACTGGCGTACTTGCGTGTTTTATTAGGGAATAATACTATGAGACCGTCGAAGCTGATGTGTGTAGCACAGCTGCTCTCTTGAACACCTCATAACATCGGTAATCAACGATTACCAATTCAAAAGTCCCAGTACCGGCTGGGGGGCTGTAATCTTGTCAGACTCAACTGGTCAGATGTGCCGGGCTCATTACACTAGAGGGTGATACGGGCCGCCCACCCACTAGCCGGCTGACGAAACGGCTTGCGCGGTAGAGGATCAGACTGTCATCCGACTCTACATCCGAATTAGACCAATCCACAGACGTCAGGACCGGAGCTCGCCCCATATATACGGACCAATAACCAGCATCGAAATATAATTACGTCTCCGTTGCAGATAAGTTTGGTCCGAGTGTGTATGCTTGCTGTGAGATGACCTAGAGAAACACACCTGTAATCGCCGCTTTAGAATCCGACCTTTATTTGTTATCAGAATGCAGTTCGGTCTTTGATTTGGTAAGAAAACTATGATTCCTTTACCTCTATCCACTGACTATCTTGCCTCTTCCATGTCTCTTACTCTCTAGGGAGTTGTAAGAGGCCCTATTCTCCTGTTCAAACCCTGTTTTCTTCTAGTAAGGTTGAATCCAGGGTCTGCAGCGCGTCGCAGCACAGAAGCCGTTGCAACACGGTCCAACGTACTGCCCTTGGGTGTCGTAGCATTCTCCGTATGTCGGAACGCAAATACCCAAGCAACTGACTCCTGTGACAGGCTGAGGCGGTCCGATGATAACCTGTTGCAAACCCTGTGGTGTGATGCCGCTCACCAGGGCTTTCTCGCCGTTCGTGTAAAAGGTACACTGGGAGATAGCGTTATAATCGGGCGCGTCAATAATGTTAACTGAAATGTCGCTGTCTGAGAATCGAAATTACAATACGTCTTTTGTAATTGGTAATGACTTTAATAGGGAACAAACTAGTCGAATAAACCTGCCCGTTGGCGGGTATAGAGAGCTCATAGGATGCCGGGCCGCCGTGAAAAGTCAGGTGAACCGTCTGTAAGCCGTCGCGCTCTTCAAGTGGTTGGGAGAGGGCGGGGAGAACGATAGCAAGAAAGTTGAATAGGTTGGTTGACAGCTTCATCTTGGTTTGATTGATAAAGAACAGTGAGAAAAAGGCTACAATGTTTAAGACTCAATTGATCCTTGAGGGTGCGTAAGTATTCGATGGGGCTATGATGGCTACATGTTGAGGTTTGGTGACACCTTTATACCTGAGTTTCTTGAAACCGAAGCTGATTGTTTCTGCTGCAAAAGCCAGTGGGATCAAGGTCAGTGACCAGTATCACCCGACTCTTACCACCCGACGACTCATTTCCAAAACTTGTGATGCTCTGTGATCAACCCCTCAATTCCCATCCCACACCGATCGTCGAAGCCACATCGAGCATGATGTGACTCGAATACGAACTCATGTGGCATACGCATCATGTCTATTTTCGTCCATGGAAACCACTCTAAGAAGGCAGGTTGTCTCCCTTGTCAGTTGCGCTTCGTTCCGATCCTGACAAGAAAAGTTTTGATCTCGTAAAGGGCAGTCAGAAATTGGGGGGAAGCACCATGTCACATCATTCCAGCCAATACCTTGAACGCTCGCAAGCCACTGTTAGGGGATACTCCACCGGATGAACTGTGACAGCGCGATGTTCAGCTTGACCATAGAAGCAGCTGAGCATAACTGAGGGGTAGCGGAACGGCGTGGCACCAGCCTTCATGAGTCAAACCCCACACCAACGGGCTGTTTAGGCGCTAACGATGCTCGTCTTGTCGGTTGCATGCATTTTGATCGATTGCCCAGTCTGAGGACAGGACATGCATACCTAGGAATGTGAAAGGGCAACGAGGGAGAGGAACTCGTATTGGTGTGTGTACATCCAGATAGCGCGCGCAGAAAATATGCATTTGACGTTCATCTCGGGACCATGTCTCAGTTGGTTTTTCTTAACGTGTAACGTTGAGTTTGACTGGACTGCAGCCGATCCAAGTATCGCGTTCGGCGATAGGTGGTCAAGGCTGGTGATCCTGCGATACATACTGTCAGATGTAGGGAAGGTCAAACAAGAAGGTTGCCGAGGAGGGTAGCGACGTCACTTCCTGCCATTATTCCTAACTAGGTATGTAGAACTTTTAATACGATGAAGATGAAAGCGTTGCCGTCAAAGACGGCGCAGCTCTCAGGTGTCGTTATTCAAGTGATTGTCTTCAGCTGGATTTGACATACATCTTTCATCTGCAAGCAGCAAGACGCTAGAGACCATTGACGTGTCTGTTCAAGGGCAAAATGTATTCTTTCTTTTGTAGTAGACATCTTGCGGAATCATATAGAAGGGTTTGGGATGTCTACACTTTGCCTAGCCTCTTGAACTATGACTAACGTCTTGCATGTCTTGAATTGGAGACAACGATGTAGTTCGTGTCCGTGTCCCATCGCCAAGCTGCCTTGATTCTCAACGTTCTCTCTAACAGAGATTTTCTCTTCCGCTCCCTTCTTTCCCCAAAGATTCTTTGGTTTAAAACATGGATGGATGAGGTCTATGATGCGGTGGTGCTAGAGGCGCCATCCTAATGCCCAAACTCGACGGCAAGCATGCATCGCCGCCCCAGACATCGCAGTCAGCTTGGCACACCGTACCGCTCTTCGGTACAACTCCATGTTCGAAATATTCGCGAATGATTTTTGTCGTGCAACGGCTACCGATTGCTACAGCACAATGTCCAACCGACTCCTGGATCACGACTGCGGACCCGGGATGGCGCTCACTCGCCTTCCACGCGTTTCGCAACGGTGTTACCGGGTCGAGCCGCGACGACATGAAAAGCAACGGCGCCGCAGGCTTGCCCTCAACCACGGCTGGGTCGGGCTCTGGCGTCGCAAACGGTCCGGTGAAGCGCCACTTGGGACGGACACGCCAGCCCGTGCACGCGAAGCGGATCTGGGACCAGTAGCCAGCAAACGTAGGGGACTGCGACTCGAGCTGCGACACATAAGCCTGGTAGTCGACGATGGTGAGGTTGGTGCTGTCTTCGCCGTCGCTGCAGAGAACAGCTTGGCCGCCGTCGCCGAACGAGCTGGGCGGGGCAGATGCATTGGGGTGGGAGCAGACCTGGTCCAGCTTGGGGATGTCGGCTTTAGCAGCCTCCAAGAGGGCCGTGTAGTTTCCCTCAATGGCCGAGTTGATCTTCTCGGCCAGCTTCGTGAATTCCTTGTAAGGCGTGTAAAGGGGAGTTTTAAAGGAAAGAGTGACGTCATACCCTGTCAGGATATTGGTGAGCTTGCCATCGAGGACTGAGACCGGTGAATCATCCAGCTGCTTGATCAATTGGTCGACCCGCTCCCGGATATCTTGCCACTTTTCATCTGACGGCCGACTAAGCGCGCACTTTCCCTTAGAGGTAAAGCATGTCGTGTAAAAGAACTCGACGATCTTTTCTGTATCTTGAAGGTTGGTTTTCCAGCCCTGCGTGCTTGGATTAACGTTTTGTGACGGACAAGGTGAAGGCAACATTACTCACACCAGCCATATAATCATCGGCGTCGGCAATCCCGTCGACAATGAGTCGCCCAACCCGGCCAGGGTACATGGACGCAAAGGTATTGCCCAAAATACTGCCATATGAGAAGCCCCAGTACTGAATACGTGGCACATCTCTAGCACCACGTAGCTCCAAGGATTTCTGTCCTCTCTCCTCCCAGGCGAGCTTTGTGGCGGTTTCCTCATCTCGCAGCTCCTGGATCTTGTCCAACATCTCAACCATGTCGCGGACAACGGACGCTGTCGAAGCATACGGAATAATGGAGCCATTGACGGCATTCTGCGTGCAAAGCTTCCCGTAACCTTGAACCCGCGCCCACTGCCGTCTCAACGCATCGGGACTGGCGTCGAGAGGGCCGATGGCCAGACGCTGGATCATGTCCGTGTCTCTGGCAAGGAGGTCTTCATAGCAATCGGCCTTTGGTGAGGTGAACTGAACACCTCGTGGGTCCCAGCTGAGAATCTCATACTTTTTGTTGTCGTCGGCGGTGTCTTGCAAAATGTGTCCCTCCCTAAGCATGAAGCCGACACCGGAACCACCGGGGCCGCCCGGGTTTGTGAAGATGGTGCCACCGAATGCTGGGTCGTCGTCGGGAACCTTGGCCGGGAGCTTCACGATGGCCAGCGCAACGGTGTACTCATTCGTCTCATCGGTCCAGTCGAGAGGTACTGTGAGCCTTGCGCACTGAAACTCCCCGTAGCATGGGTGGTATTCCAGCTTCGTGGACGGCGTGATTGTCGTCCAATTGAAGTCATTCAAGTTGGGCGGTTCGCGCTCACTCGCGCTGGAGATGCCGACAAGGCCTGCCAAGGCAAAGTGCGCAATTGAGTATCTCATGTTCGCGCACTACTGCCGTCTTCGAGTGGGAACGGGCCGTAACGGGATGTCAGCAGAATGTTGTGAGACGAGTGAAGAGCCTGTGAGCTGACGGGTAGTATGGTGGTGTGCGGGTTTGGTTCACTGGATGGCTTGTTAGGTGTTGATTACTTCCAATCGCCTGGCACTCGTTGCTAATTGTCTTATCGCCGCCGATGGCGCCAATTAACAAAATTATGTTGAAACGGGCTTGGGATGAGGAGAAGCTTCGAAGGACCTGGAGTAAGGTGACTAGGCAGTGAGTTGCTGCGTCAGCAGGAATGCCTGCAAGGCCGGATCGGCGGGGCACGCAATAATCTGACGCACCCCTTTTGTCGGGCGGTATAGTACGCGTTCAAGGCTGCCATGCAGAATCAGGAAGGTGACTGATAGCAAGACACTCGAAATCGGTGGGAGGATAGAAATTATACAACGTATCAATTCTGGGAAACCCTTAAGAAAAAACATAGCTAATACCGGATCGCACCGCGCGGGGAAAAAAACCATACACACCACGCCGCATTGCAAGTCTCATTTGCTAATCACGCCTTGACATCCGACAACCGAATCAGCGAAGATCCCACGCCCGGCAAGCTCTTCCACTGGCGATGAGCTTCCTGAATGTCTTCGAGGTCATAGACCCTTTTGATTGGGACCGAAATCTTGCCTGCTGCCAGCAAATCAAACAACGACTTCAAATTCGGTTCGAACGTTGCGTCGTCCCGGGTGATGTAGTAAAACCGAGTCCTCTTGGCGCAGAAGGGGACCATACCCCGCGCCAACAGTTTTACAGTAGGCATGACGGTCGACCGGTCTTCGCTACCGTCGTTGAGCGATCGCAGGTTGCCGCCGTAACCAACGAGAATGCCGGTAGATGTCAAGATCGAGAAGGACTCGTCCCAGCTCTCGAATCCTAGAGGATCAAACACTGCATCCGCCCCGCCGAGGTCCTTCATGGCCTGGACCCAGTTCTTGTCGGTGTAGACGAACGGCTTGGCGCCCTGTGCGCGAGCGGCCTCGTGGTTCCGTTCCGACGCCGTGCCGTACACCTCGGCACCCTGCAGCTGGCACAGCTTCATAAGGGCGTAGCCGACGGCTCCGCTGACGCCGTGAATGAAGACTCGCTGGCCCGCAGTCACCTTAGCGGACTCGAAGACCATGGCGTAAGCCGTATTCCAATCCAGAATCAGGGCAGTGGCCTGCTGTAGGTCGATGCCGGCGGGAACTTTGACAAGGTATTTCTCTGGGAGATTGACCAAGTCGGCCTCGGCGTCGTAGACAGTCATACTAGCAACGATTTCACCGGGACTGAAGTTGGACGCGCCGGGGCCGTTTGTCTTGACAACGCCGACGAGACAGTAGCCAGGGGTGAGCGGGGCCTTCTTCTGCATCGGGTAGACGCCCTTGCGCATGTTGACGTCGGCCCCGGAGAAGCCGGAGTAGATAGTCGCTACCTGCACATGCTTCGCGGGAGGAGGGTTGATGGTGTCTTGGATGATGCGCACTTTGGAGGCGTCACCGAACTCGGTGATGATAGCCTTTCGAATGGTGATTCCTGACATGTTGAGAGTGCGTTTTATGAGTGGGTTGTTTGATTGGCGACAGATTGAGCTTGGCTGGTAGTCGCTTGATGCCTCGAGATGTCAGGGTGAGATGTCTATGGCTTCTCTATTTCTGCCGCTTCATAGCTTCGTCTCATGGTCTTCCTTTATACATGAACCGTATGATACCTAGCGGCGGACGCCATGGTTAGCAGCATCGTCATTCGTTCCTTGTAGCATTTGCAAAGCTACTCGGCATAAGAGAATCGCGCCGCGAGATACGCCTCATGGACCCATGTTGCGCCGGTGTGGAACTCAAACGGGCGCAGTCAATCCTCCTACGCAAAAGCTGGCGCCACGATGCTTAATTCTACCGCTTCACGGAACAATTCTAAGGTATACCGACCTCCTCTTGTCCAGATGGGGTAGTAGGAAGTGAACCTGATGGGTGAAATGGGGCAGGGACACGGTCAAACGGCTCTGAGCGGCGGGAGTTGCGCCGATCAGAGGAGCTAGATCCCTGCATGGCGGTTGCCTGTTTCGTGGCGCATTCCTGAATTCGCATTCGCCCGGGCTGACTTTAGGCCGCCTTGCTTTAGGATCTTTGTGGTCAGCACTTGCGAATGCAGCGGGACTCTTTACTGCTGGACAGAGTTAGTTGCGCCCACTTCTTACCCTGTTGCGGATGAGCTGGAGCCACATATGGCGCGGCGCGGCGCAACAGCGACTGGAGAGCTGGCGTCAGACGGATGTTTAACGGGACAAATTCCAGCCCCGATGCATATTTTCTGATCAGCACTACCAGTAGGATATGGTCTGAACATGAGAGAAGTGACCCGCCACCATGGTCAAACCAGCCAAGAACAAGTTGATGATGTAGCTCATTGCGCGAGATGGAACAAAATGCATCTACCGACAGATTCAGAGGCAGCAACATTTGGGATTCTGTCCACTGTCTGATGGTGATGGGTTTAAAAATTACAGAAGAACACGATGATGACTGGTATCCAGATGACACAGCCTCGACCGCATTGGCTCTGCACAGTAGCCTCATCACGAGCTCAACCCAATTAGACAGCAAAATAGGCACAAACATCCAACACAACCAATGTTGTTCGATTCCGAGAATCTATGGACTGTGATAGACAAGGAGTTACGTCACAAAATCTAGCAGTTTTCCAAGCATTTGGTTTCGCACATGAACCAGAGCAACCTTGACGTCGAATCTCGAATCTCGGAGCCGACTATTTCAATGCGCGCACCAATCGACCTGGAATCGGGCGTCAGTGACTTTTGTGCAAACTTCGGCTTAAGTAAGTGCAGCTATTCCAGTCACAATTATCCTTCGACAAACCATTGTCAGCATACCGAAATAGTCATCCTTCAGTCTCGAGTTTTGGAACACATGGCGTTGACTTTCACTTACCTTGTAAACCTGGGTTCCCCACCACTGAATCTTGGTGGAAACACCCGTGTAGAAGATGGCGAAGAAGATGACGATCCCCGCAATGGCCACCGAGCAGTCAAGAGCAGAGCTAAGCACAAAATTATACCGCCTCCACCAGGATTTCTGTCTACGCTTGATAAACAATCCGAATAGCAGACCAACAATTGCCCAGCTGCCGTAATTCGTTCCGGACGCCGGGGGGATGTAGTTCAGCCCACCAAGGAAGAGAGGGATATGGACCTTTTCTAGCCATTTCGACTTGGTGAATAATCGCTTTCTCAATACGTAGACGATTACAGGCAATATTGCTCCGACAAGAAAGAACCACAGCAGAGACCGATACATCGCCCCTTCTGCAAAGAAACGACGTGGTCCAAGGGCGCCCCAGACCATGCTAGTGTTGAAATGGGTGCGAGAGAAGGGACAAGTGAAGCCGTTGGGGGCATTTATTGTGCAGATGCCTGGGATGTGGTTGAGCGCCCAGTTGAGGACTGATACCTGGCCAATGGAGCCTATGAACAGACCGACTGACTGAACAAGAAACAACTTTCGCGGCGGAATCTGTTACGTTATCAACATGAGTTAGGGGTTTAGGGTGAACACGAAGATTACGTTGCAGTATATACCCAGTTTTAGATCCTGAGCAAAAGCCAGTCCTTTGATACCGGAGATGTACCCCAGATTGAAGAACCAAATGTTGGCCAGAACCTTGCCATTCCATATATAACCAGCAATTATTCGGCAGAATATGTCGATCTGGATCTTCATGTTCGTCGTGGCATAGATCCAAGCAAGCTGCATCCGAAATTCATCAGCATCGGTTCATGCGTATTAGAGAACTCGCAAACTCGTTGATTTACCGGAATGAAGAATACCGCAGACACCGTGAAAGACAGAAGAACCCCATACCAACGCAGTTGAACAGGGTAGAACTCGCAAGCAAATATTCCAAATCCAAGAGCAAGAGCTGCCGCAATCCAGTACCACCAAAGCGGCACGGCCTTGTAGGCAGGTTGAGGATTACTTCGAGGAATGAATTCATCTCCGAGAAGGGTCGAGAGTCTTGAAGACCTGAGAGCAACAGCAATATGGCCACGTTTCTCAAGGAACAGCCAGACAAAAAGGGAGGCTATGGTGGCGAAGGAGAGGCCGAAAGTGTTGAGAGCGTACGTGACAGGAAGGTAGATCTAGTAAAGTAAGAGTCTTAGATTGCGTATACACGACGTTTGAGGATTTGGTCCATTTACATCAGAGTAGTGGGCATATTTAACCGGGTCGAAGCTGAAGTCGCTGGCCTTGTTAATGACTTTGGAGACGTTGAAGGTCTTCCCGTTGTGGTCATAGATGGAGTTACTCTGAATAGGGAGGTATGCAGAATCCCAAGTGTTCGAATAGTAGAGGGCTGGCGAGATTATATATATCCAGAAAACCAGAGATGCCAATACATTCAGGATTGCCCAGGTGGGTACGACAAGCGGAGACCCAATGTACGCGATTTGACTCCCTACGCCAAATGAGTAACAAGCCGACAAGGGTTCTCGCAGGGACCGTACAGTCAAAAGTGAAGGGAAGCAAGCCGATTCCGCTCTTCATACCAAATATTTGGTTGACAACCGCGTTCTGCGGAGCGATCCAGCAGACCCAAGTAAAGTAACCCAGTGCAGGGAAGATGAAATCTGGGAACCAATACCAGCAAAAAGATACGATGAAGGCCAGTATGAAGAACTGGTAACGAGAAGCGGTCCATTTTGCCCTATAAACTCTGAATATCAGTACTTGTGGAATTGATCGATCATTAGATTTGGAAGATGCGTACTCGGTCTCATCTTCCTTTTTCCCGGAGTGCAGGGCAGCATTGAGAGCTGTGTTTCCAAGCACACCAGGCCACAATAATGTAGGGGGCTCGACAACCAAGGAATAGCACAATCCGGCCAAAGCAAACCCATACAAAATTGTAGCTAGAGTAACGGTCAGCTCAAATCCCCACCCTGCCTTGAGCCCATAGAAGACTCGCTGCTCAGTTAAGACGTCGGCGCTAAGTCGGGTAAGAAAGCTGAGGTTGGCCATGATATAGACAAGTATGTTTTCCTAGTAAGTTATGAGTCAGTTGGTGCCAGTATTTCCAATGTTTCAGTCTTCAGAGATGCTATCGACCTTGTAGTTGAACGGGCTTGGGTTTAAGCTAACGCGACGTGACCGGATGTTGAATCCCCAATCTGGGATGACGAATTCCCAAGCCTTGCCGACAGGATATGCCAAAAATTGGATCGCCGACTGCGAAAGACTGATGGAAGGGAAGCGGAAAGTGTATAAGGTATTGACGCCACTGCCCAAGAGACAGAAAGCAATGCCAATTACCCACATGCGTACAGTCAAGCATGGCAGAGAAGGGTCGTCAGGCCTTAGCCCGACTCCGGCTGCATAGAGAATATCTTCGCTTGGAGCAGAGGACTCATCTAAACAATAGTCAGGGTATTGCTCGTGGCTGAACAGTCGCATTGTCGTACCAGAGCGTTTTGCTACTTTTAAAGTTGATGTTGGACTCAGCGGCTCCGCTAAGACATCGTTGCTCGGGCTACCTGGCTTTGTACTTTCCTCGATGGTCGCCATGGCTGTTGTCATACAAGAAAGCTAATAAGACAGAGAGATCAGATTAGATGTGATTAGATGGGATGAGATAAAATCAGAGTTTTATTCTTCAACCCAAAGATTGGATTCGGCCCGCCATCCAAGCCGGGACTCGGCGGCGCCAGTGCTCAATGACCCACTTTCCCGGTGCCGTGTCTCCGGACACTGGCGTAAGCCCATGGAGTTCGTAGTAATTAGCGGCACGGGTTTAGGTCGAGACGACTCGAACCCGCCTCCAACCAGGTTGTTTAATCAGTCTAATTCGTGCGCATTTCGCAAGTCACCGGAACTCCGCCAGTTTACATTTCCCATGACACGGTGGCTGCAGGCGCACCTTCTAAGACCTTGTAGGGCTAGACTTGGATACTATGTACTTTGTGGCATGCTTCTTGTGTTTGGAAAGGGTTCGAATGCAGTTTAGAGGAAGCGGGGATATCCCTTCATGATGAATTGTTTCTCTCCACTCTTTAGATCTCTGTGGCCACTGAAGGACGGCGGTTTCGTCAAAACTGCCTAGCGTGTTCGAAGGCTTCGGCTATCTGTGCCGGTCGAGTCCTTGTGCGGCTCTCTCAAGCTTAAATGTCCCTAGGAGCTCGAGTTCATGTGATCTGAGGCAAGTCGAAAAACAGCATCTGGCGCACGCTCTTCTAGTGAAAAGAATACCTCGTGCTAAGCTTTATGTCATCGAAAGCAACTTTTGTTCATCAAACTTGCGCTGTTCCTCCAGTCATAGAATGAGAGCGCGCAAAGACAGATATACTGACTCGGGCTATCGTCTCTCGGCGCCTACTTTCTGCTCTCGCAAATGGCTTGCAGGTATCAGTAACAGTTGGACATTCAACACTCAAAACAGCCCAGGTCGTACACAAACGGTCTCACGCCATCTTTGCCTCAACAGTGTAGCGCCATCCATCGGTTGATTGGTAAGACGAAAGGCAGAAAGTACCAAATAGGTGTGAGGGATAAGACCCCCTTGCTCTTGCTCTTCCTCTTCCACCCCACTTGCCGAACTGAGCCCGAGAAACTCGCCGTTTGCCGATTGAACCTCGTGGGCTAGACCTGATCCACGGCGACCATCGAAATTCGACACACGCATTTATTTACCCGGCTGTGGGACATCAACGAACGTTGACTGGTGCTTTGGATTTGCATGTTCTCCCCCCAGATCTTTCTATGAATTTGGGAAGTGAGACGTACCAACGGAGTGAGTAGTCAGCGGGCTGATTCCAGGCAGTTTATTGATCTTGATTTCGAGCTACCTCTGCAACCAAAGAGTCACGGGTTCGTGGCTGATGTGTGGACTTGGCGGTTCATCCCGTCTTTTTAGAGGGGCGAGGGCGTGGACCACTCCCCCATATATCTGCGTTACATCAAGCTTGTCGAAGATATTACACAGCTACTTGAGGTGCTTTATGCTTCTCTTGGAGCCGCAAGCACGTGTCCTTTTGCACATTGAGAATCTGAACCGTTGAGTAGGCGTACCATGGTGAAACAAGAAATAGTAACGATTCCAGAACAGGGTATAGGAGATCCTTTTATTAGTAGTTAGACGCAAAATGCCACCTTATAGCTATCTCACCCTGGTTGTTCGCTGATATTGGTCCTGTAGTCAAACTAGGGGCTATTCTCATGTTGCAACCTCTTAGACAAGTCTATAGTGCATTATTGTATCATGCCTTCTAGTTTGAAACATAGTTTCCTATCTGTTGTGTTGTGACGAGGTGTCGAAGGATGCAGTGCCGGCACACGTAGTCTATGAAAAGCGCAGCCTCGATCAGACCTGAGAATGTTTCGACGTATTTTGATGTTTTATCATTTCTAGCCTTTTTAATACGTTTCTAGTTTCCTTTGTTCCTGAATTTAAAACCTTCGTACGTTGCAGTGTTGCAATGCAAGTCATGTCCGTTGACAAATCAAACAAGTCGTCATGATTTTGTCATCGAGGCGTATATTAGTTTGCCTAGATAACTTCGGCTGGCCATATAACGTGTACGATATTTCGACCATTCTCATGTTCCTAGATGGAATCTGCGCCTTTTCTACTAACTGCGTGCGTGTTAACTCTGGCAGTTTTGAAAGGCCCCCGAAAAGTAAGGCCATGGTTTGTGGTGAGTGTCGAGAAACCTCCACTGTCTCAGAGTCGCAAATGTTGGATGACCGTGGAACACACATTGAAAGAAAATGTTCTCTGTTCCGGGCGAGTGAGCCCCAGAGCGTTGCCAAAGGCCGACTGCATGATGATTCTGCCAAGAGGCCCCTTGATGATACCTCATTCCATTCAAAAAACATGGAAAGTCTAACCGAGACCTTCTTCTTCGCGCGGGTTCTGAGGCTAGCGACAGGAAACTACGAAACCTTGCAGACGGTCCCCAAGACTACAGTCGCATCTTGTATTTCAAGAAAGTTCGGATGATAATATTTGATTCGGACGAATGGAAAAACTCATGTCTCTGCCAAGATCAAGACAAGGGAGCTCTGGGCGGGGCTTACTTTCTCAAGTCAGGAGGGTCGTGAGAACTTTCCCTCGGATTAGGTCGTGATAAAACCGACATCTTGACGGCGCTGCGCCTTACCTCCGAGCCAGTCACACTTGAAGCTGCAACATAAAGTACTCTTTCACGGTGCCTGCGGCAATGCTTCTTAGCAGAATCTTCATCGTTGGAAAGCCAGCCCTTGGGTTTAGCTTCCACTTTAAGTGATCAGGAGTCCTGCTGGTACTCAGTTTCAACGTGTCAGACGATGTTAAGAACCCCACCTTACTCGAGCAGTTGTCGAGGCATTCTTGCCGCTATGGAAGGCAGCGAGTGAGCGTTTAGGCGCCTGGCAGGATTAGTCTGATTCAGTTGGCATCATGGTTTCACAGGCACAGTCAAGGGCTCAATATCGCTCCTTGTCCGTGAATAGCTCCATCGTGAGGGATTTGGCCTTACTGATGTTTTCATTTCGCTTCTTTCTCTATCTGCGATCTCGACATATAATTGGAACGTCTTCATCTTATTGAAAGCCACGTCTTCAACATCTTACCGGGCAGGATAGATCATACAACGGATGCACACAACGCGCTACGTCAATCGCCAATGTAGCTTCTAACCCACCACATCTGTTTTTAATGGTACAAGAATGCAGTGCAGAAAGTGGCACAGTGAATGAGAGCCCTGGTGAAGAGTGTAATGAAGCAGCCGTTTTCTGCCAATCTCAACATCCGCCTTCGTACGGATGGCCCCGGTGTGGCAGAGTGATTTGATAATCTTTTCTCGGGAAGAGCTAAACGAATGGCTCGGGAGACTAGCAGATCTATTGTGGCATGGTTTCGTCTCTAGTCTAATCTAGGCGGGCATCACTACCCAGCGCAACGGAAACGTGCGAAAATTGGGTGATTGAGGACACCCACAGCTTGGCTCATACTGCTCGCCACTTGATCCCACTTGCCGCGATATACGTCCCGGCACGCCTGGTCTTCATGGGTGGCGCCGAAGTATTATTCTTGTATTTTCGTCATGAAAAGCGTATGTAACTGGCCTTGTCGAAGTGACAGGCGAGCCATGCAAGGATCCTGGTCGTGTCACTCAACAACAACCCGCGAGAAACGACCACTCGATCGTTCGTGGATAATGAGCTCGCGACAAGGTGGGGTTGAATGTACTTTGTAGCTTACGGGTTTGTGGGAGCCAGTACCATGCTCAGTCTGTCAACCACCCATGCTACCGGCGATGCTCCCTGCATGCCAAGTAATGTTGAGGGAAAAAATTCTTTCAGCCACCAACTGCTAGGCTGTCACAGTGGAGGACCAGAAGGGGATTTCCAGCAGGGTGATATGAGCACGAGGCTAGGCTCTGTTTGTCGGAAACCAAAACTCGTTCTGCGATGTCTACTCTTAACTGTTTTCAAAGGAAGTCCCAGACATGTGAAGACACTCTGATATCTGGAGAAGGACGCCCGCACATCCACTTGCAATGTTAAATTGGGGACATGCAGCCACTATGAACTGGAGATATGGGGAGATTCCATGGTGAGATGCAATCAGGAACCAAGACCATTCGCTCCACTTCCACCGCCACCTTGGCGGACCGACCAGACACGACACAGAACCCCCTCCCTTCCGGACCTCGAATACCCTTCAAGGCCTTCACACCCTTTCCCGCCACTCTGGTCCTTATTTCTCTAGCTCAGAATAGACCAATGGACGTTTTGGCTGATCCCTTCGTCTACAGGCCTAATCTTCCCCTCGGTTCACTTAGGTATTCCCAAGAATGGAGTCACACCCAAGGCCTGGCCAACTACGCGGCCTCCGACCAAGAGCTGTCCAGCCTGGGCGATTCCACAACGCTAACACGAACCCAACCATACCTCCGATAGAGCACTAACTTTGATTCGTCCCTTGGCATCTAATCTGATCATCTGATAAAGACAAACTTTGGGCGACATCGGCTGGAGGTGTTACTTGGCGCTTGGCAGAACTCAGCTGCAATATAGAAAGGCCCCCATCGAACCTCCAAATTATTCTTCGAGTTTTTTCTTCTTTTGAGTTTCAAGCAAGGTTAGCAGGCATTCGCCTTTAACATCCCACTCCTTCTTGTCGACAGCTTCCCCCGTTTATTCAAACCCCGGCATATCGAGGCGATTACGTCGCCAAACCCCCTGTGACTGTCAATCAAACACGATGGCCACCATCGAGCCGCAGAGTGGCCTTCAGGAGGGGGGCGCTGAGGTCGAGAAGAGCCCGGCCTTCAACAATGGCGTCACAGAAGTCCGTAATGACAAGCCTCACGAGTCCGATGTCGACAGCGTGAATTTTACGCCTGGCGTGCAGCGTGCTAGAGCCACGACCGCCATCTGGTCAAAGAAGACTATGTATCTCATGTTCAGCCTGTAAGTGCATCGAGGTGCTTCCTCAAAGACTGTAGCTAACATTCTCCAAGCCTCTACGTCGTCTCCTTCATCGACTTGCTCTTGCAATCCGTCCAGGGTAACCTCAACCCATATATTACATCCTCGTTCAACAAACACGGTCTCCTCGCCGTTGTCAGTATCTTTGCCAATCTACTTTCGGGATGCTGCCAATTGGTTATTGCCAAGGTCATCGATATTTGGGGTCGCTCAGAGGGTTTGCAATCCTTGTTCTTTTCAGCCTCATCGGTATGATCATAAAAGCCACTTGCCAGAACATGGAGACCTACGTTACAGGACACGTCTTCTACACTATTGGGCACTTCGGCATGATGTTCGTTATCGACGTCATGATCGCTGATATGAGCTCACTGAAGAACCGTATGATTATGCTCGGTATCAACGGTACCCCGATTGTCGCCGTTACCTTCGCTGGCCCCAAAATTGCTGAACTCTTCTACACGGAGTCCAATTTCAGATGGGCTTTCGCTGCCTTCGGGATTATCCTTGTTGGCTTCTGCTTGCCCTCGCTTCTGGTCATGTTCCTCATGCAACGCAAGGCTGAGAAGGCTGGTTTGCTCGAGAAAACGCGTGTGATGTCCGACCGAACCTACCTGCAGGGCTTCTGGTATTACTTCCTGCAATTCGACAGTAAGTATCTCATTATGCCGGGCAGTTCACGATCTAGCACTGACCCCATTCTATAGTGGTTGGACTCATCCTTATCATTGCGTTCTTCTGCTTGGTTCTGTTACCCTTCAGCATCAATTCGTATGCGGCCAAGGGTTTTGCGAGCCCACACATCATTGCAATGTTTGTTGTCGGCGTTTTGTGCTTGCCTGCGCTATTCATCTGGGAGAAGAAGTTTACTCCCGTACCATTCCTTCCCTACAAATATTTGAACGAGCGGACTCTCATCGGATCCTGTATGCTCTACGGTGTCATGTTCATTTCCATATTGTGAGTATCTCTTTTGAACCTTTTGAGATGCCACTAACAATTTTCAACTAGCACATGGGATGCCTACTACGGCTCCTATCTGCAGGTCGTACACGGGCTGTCCATCACCCACTCTGGTTATGTACTCAACACGTTTTCCTTGACCTCGTCGTTCTTCGGTCCCGCCTATGGCTTTTTTATTCGCTGGACCGGTGATTTCAAGTACACCGGTCTGGCTGGTGTCCCCTTCATGGTTCTTGGCACCGCACTCTTGATCCCGTACCGAACGCCTAGCACTTCGGTTGGTGCTCTTGTTGTCCTGCAGATGCTTAACGGTCTTGGAACTGGCATTTTTGCCGCATGCGGCCAGATTTCGATCCAGTCTGTCGTCACTCACCAGGAGATTGCTACCGTAATGGCCATCTGGGGTCTATTTGGCTCCATCGGCGCCACAGTTGGATATGCCATCGCTAGTGGCCTGTGGAACAACATTGTACCCGGGGCTCTGGAAAGCAACCTGCCGGATTACGCCAAGAACCAGACCGCGGCAATCTTTGGCTCCCTCGATGTCCAGCTCTCCTATCCAATGGGTGACCCTGTTCGCGACGCCATCATTGCTGCGTACGCAGATGTGCAACACAAGATGGTTATCGCTGGTGCAGCCTTCATCCCGGTTTGTCTTATTTGTGTCCTCTGCTGGAAACACGTCAACATCAAGAAGCTTGAGGAGGAGAAAGGTAATCAGACCAAGGGCCGCGTGTGGTAGATGCTCATCCCTCACAACGTTGGATTATACATTTCCCCAGCACAAATCAACCACAGTTGTGTCGTTCACAGAGCAAAAAAGCAGCGTATAAGATAATTCATTTCAGAGCAAATAGCTTTCTGACCTCTGTACGTCCAAGAGCTGGCACGCCGATCAAGCTGCCACACATTTTCGTGTCCGTCTTTTTTGGCTAGACTCTATGTGTACTTAATCGTGGGGGATTTCTTTGCATAGAAGAACCCTGGCAAAGAACTTCTTTGATATGAAAAGTAGCATGTCACAAACCATGCAAGTTTCTCATCGCCGCCTAACCCGCGTTGCCAAGCTACCGGATGAGCAGTCAAGTGCATCTGATGCACATGAACGGAATGAGCTTGTCGTCGGAGTTCGGAGTAGCAGCTTTCCCCATATCATGCCTCGCAATACTTTATATTATTAACCGTCTCCTGGAATAAACCGGGTCCGGCCAGCTAGGCATTACGACTGGGCCGGTTGGCTTTCGGCGCATAACTGCGTGGATGCTGCATTCCCTTGGGGTCGCTGGATATTTCTATCGGAGGCGGAGTTGGGGTATGTAATGTCGGAGAAATGGCAAAAGCAAGTGCACTTTCCCCTTATCGTGTCCGAGACACAGGGTTAACACGCCATGTTAGTAACACAGACACTGAACTCCACCCCAGTTCTCCGCCTCCAAGGAGCGTAAAACGCACAATGCTGAGTAATACGGTCTCAGATTTGGCTGCTCAGCCGCCATTCTAGGCCGGATGACGCACCTGCCCGGTGGGAGCACGCGAAAACATGCAGTTCTTGTTTTTGAATGCATTTCATTTGCTCTCGTCGGTGGAAGGTCTTGCATGCTTCCGAAACTCTGCTTAGTATAGCAAAACCCCGGTGTAACTATCTTCTCCACTGTGACCACGCTTATTCAAGCAGCACGCACTGCCACACAGTTCGAATGGAAGACCATTAATAATTGTTAGCGGAGTTTGGTCGCTGGAGACGGGCCCGCTGGCATGGATACATTAACGTTCAGAGAAAGTCGACTGCGTCATGCTTTCCCTCTTTTTGATATAAAACGTGGCCGACGCCGATGAACACTCAGCTGATGATTCCAATCCATATCGTGCCACATCTCTAGATCATCTCCCTTGCAGTCTACGGAGAACTCAAACCGTGCTTCTTCGTAAATCTACCAGCAAAACACGTCGCAAGAAACTAAAATGGCAAACATTGAAAACCCAGCGATCCCGAAGGGTTCTACCGTCCTAGTTACAGGTGCCAATGGCTTCATCGCATCTCATGTAGCCGATCAGTTCGTCAAGCATGGTTACAAAGTTCGCGGAACGGTCCGCGACACCCAGAAGAATGCTTGGCTTGGTGCCTACTTTGACAAAGCCTACGGCAAGGGTCACTTTGATCTGTTTTCCGTGCCGGATATGACAGTTGAAAACGCCTACGATGAGGCGATCAAAGGTAAGCAACCCATTACAGTTCTGCTACACATGACAGAATGCTGACCGTGAACAGGAGTCTCTGCTTTCATCCACGTAGCTTCTGTGGTCAACTTCAACCCTGACCCAAACGAGGTCATTCCGACTGCTGTTGAGAGTGCTGCGATTGCCATCAAGGCAGCATATAGAGAGCCTAGCGTCAAGCGCTTTGTCCTGACGTCTTCTTCATCGGTGACTTTGACAGCGAACCCAGAGACTTTTATGAAAGAGAAGGGCGCAGTCGTCACAGAGGACTCGTGGAGCCCTGATGCGAAAGAGTTGGCCTGGACACCCGGCCCGTGGGGTCCTGAGCATGGCGGTCCTGTGTACATCGCCAGCAAGGTCGAGCAAGAGCAGACCGTCTGGAAGTATCACAAGGAAAACCAGGCAAGGCGTCCCGACCTTGTGGTAAACGCCGGTAAGTAATGGGAATGCCCCACTGACTAAAAGTCCTAACTTCATACTGATTGATTTATCAGTCCTTCCCAACATGAATCTTGGAAAAAGTCTCGACACTGTCAATCAAGGCCACCCTTCCACGTCTGGCTTGATCTTGCCTCTTCTCGAAGGAAAGAGGCTTTCCCCGGAATGGAGTATTCCCCGTAAGTGGTCGCTTGACATGTCAGAAAAAGTGACGTGTACATAAGCTGATGAGTATCAAAGAGTATGCCATTGATGTCCAGGATGACGGCCTTTTGCATGTCGCCGCGGCCATTTTGCCCGACGTTAAGGGTGAGCGCATCTTTGGGTTTGGCAATCCGTTCTGCTGGGATGATATCCTAGAGATTCTGCGCAAGCAATTTCCTAACAGGAAGTTTCACGATAAATTCGCCGGCGAACCTTACCCGGCTGTCATCAAGCCCAGGGACCGTGCTGAACAGCTGTTGAAAAGGCTTGGAAGGCCTGGCTGGACCTCATTGGAAGACAGCTTGCGGATGAACACCGAGGACCTTCGAGCCGCGGATGCCGCCTGAAGAAAGGGTTTACCTCATATCGCTGTGCCAGAGTGAGCGTGGTGGACAGATGATACAGCTGAGGAAGGCTGTTCGTTACATGGATGGGATAGTATATAGGAAGACCGGACGAGCAATATAGCGTTTATTGTTCTTCTGTTTTGAAGTTCACTTTGTAACGTTATATCCACGCCCTTGGATGGTGCACCATGCACGATTAATCACGTTGCTGCCTAAATCCTTCAGTCCACATGTTTTGGGCCGCAGAGTCCGCCTTGGGCAACATTGGGGCGGTCAATAACTAACATCAGTGCGCTCGTACCCCGCACAACCTTACATTGACTAGCATTCACTATAAACACAAAGTCTGTCCCTTTACAAAGGCAACGCTCCAGGCTGTGTCGGTGACTATAGATTTTCCTGCATTTGATTTCACAAGGCATGCGATGATGGATTCAATCAGCGCTGTCGAGAGAGATGAAAAGCCTTGCAATTTTTGCTTAATTTTCATTAGCTCGGCCCTACGTTCGGGTGCATCGAAACAAAGTACGAAGGGTACGTGGCAACGAGAGACCAGAGAATTGGTCGAATCTATGTTGTTATGTCGACTTTGTGAGGCGATGTTTGAGTTATTACTTAAACTAGAGATCTCAAAGGTCAGACAAAGGTTCCCCGATATTACGAGCGAAAGCTCTTCACCAGTTTCGGTGATATTCTTGAGCAAAAACCATGCAGAAGGCCTTAGTTGGGCGTCTTTTGAGGCAGCCTTAGAGATCAAACAGCATGCCTTTGAATACCTTGCAGAGGGAAATATCGGGATATCTGTCGAAGATACTTCATCAGATATTGGTACACGTATCTTGCTCACTGGTAATACCTAGGATTGTGAACTGCTATGTCTGACTTACGCCTTAGGATCATCGGCACCCTTATTTCTGGACCTCGGGCAAAACATACCCAGTACGATCGGTAGCTGAGGATAGGATACTTTGCACAAAAAACCGACTCGATAACTGCGAAAGCAAGCATGGTGAAGAATGCCGCCCGAGCAAAAGACGCCTACCGAAACGACTTATCGATATGAGGCCTGGATACCCCGTACGGCTCCGAGCTAGCAGAGATGTTGTGAGACACCAAGAATGGGTACGATATGCCATATTGAGTTACTTTTGGGGATCCTTCCTACCTATGAGAACTACCAAGGCCACCGAGATGGATTTTAGTTCCACGATACCAGAAAGCCTTCTCCCAAAAACATTTCAACACGCCATCAGATTGGCTCGCTCTCTCGAAATCCCAGGTTTATGGATTGACTCGCTCTGCATCGTCCAAGATGATCTTTCGGAATGGGAATCTGAGGCGTCGTATATGGAAGATTACTATTCTGGGAGCATCCTGACAATATCGGCAACAGATGCGTTGGATAGCAACGGTGGTTGCTTTCTAGACGATGATGACAAAATGGAAGTTACTGCAGCGAACAGTGTATTTCCGTCGGGATCACAATTGGGTTCTAGATCAGTGCGCAAAACTGGAAAATCATCACTGTTGGACCCGAATGTTCGAGTGTTTTCTTACAATCACCAATTCGACGATGTAAACAGCGTCCGCAACGTCATGGTTCGTCTACAAGCCTCGCACCCAGGCATCATACGGCGTAGGGCACCTCTCAACACACGAGGATGGGTACTCCAAGAACAGGTCTTGTCTCACAGGACTGTACATTGCATGAAGTCGGAAATGCAATGGGAATGTAGATGCCTATCCATAACTCAAGCTGCCCAGGAATGTAATTCCGTACGCGAGCATGAACCGATAGACTCAGGAGCTCAGATGCTACGGATGTGGCCAGTGTGGGTTGAAGACTACTCCAGACGAAACCTCACCATCGCCTCCGACAGATTACGGGCGTTTGCTGGTATTAGCAGCTATTACGAAAGGAAAATGCTTCAAGAGCCAATATTAGGCCTAAGTCGTCACGAGCTTGTCCGAGACCTCGCTTGGATCAGGGCCGGACCCAAGAGAGGACCAGGGATCTCTGGTGCTCCGTCTTGGACTTGGCTTTCCTGCAATGCTCCAGTCTGGGTGGATCTCCGGGGATTCAAGGATGAGGGCGAGATTAGAGTCAAAGACTGGACTTTCCTTTTTTCGTATGTTGTCAACTGGAAAGGAAGCAAAATGACATCGGACATTCAGTCATGTACACTGATTGTCCGAGGCCCGATAAAACAGTTCACAATTTCCGTGGCGCCGGGGTCAAAAAGATACAATCCACCGTACTTATTGGTAGATGGCCAGGAGACAGACTTGCCGGGGAACCCAATCCCATGGGACTGTCCGGGGAAGTTCGATGACGATGAGTATCCAAGTAATATCAATGATACTTACGTATGTTTGCTCCTGCGAACGAGAAGTACGGAGAATGGAGACAGGTACAAGGAAACTTTTCTCATACTTACTAGGGATATCACTGTAGGGGTTGACGACAAGGCCTATCCAGTGTTCCGGCGAGTCGGGATCGGAGCAATGAGAGGAGACGAGAGAAGATTTGCACATGGTACTGAGGAGAGAACTATTGCTCTTAGCTGATAATTGATATGAAGACACGCCCGAACCCGTTTCATGTCGCAAACCAATGACAGTTACACTAGTACTGGTAGATCCATCCCATCAATACTTCTCAACGAAGCAACCAATGGTTGATGATGAAGAGAATAATAGCCCCCCGCCCTTTTTCTTTTCTTTTCTTCTTTTTCTTCTCCATCCATTTCCCTCTTCGTCTTATTACTCTCGGAGGTTTGTCTTTTTTGGGTACTCGGTTAGCATCTTTCAGTTTTAGAATGCCTCGACTTAAATGTTACAGTGGTCATTCCACCAGGCACCAGAATAGTTACTGCCACCCCTGGCTCCCACTGATCCTTGGTATGTCTCTACAGCCTCTTTGCATCTCGCTCCCAGCCCAGAAAGATGGAGCTTAGCTTCTCAACGTAATGGTTTTCTTCTGCAGAACGCTTTGCAAAGCATTTCAACAAATTGGATAGGCCGACTCATCCAAATGTGGGAAGATGTCATCCAAGTCTAATATCAAATGCTTGATCAACCCGTTTTTGAGCTATCACAAACTGCGTCCAAACCCTTTCAGGTCCACCCTATTGCCGATTGGTCAAAACGGCTGACGTCAACTCGACTACCGACAGTGTGGAGCAAAGGGTGAGGGGCAAATGTGTTTTTCGGGCGAAAAAGAGGGGCAAAATGCACCCCAGAAGTCTATTAATCGACAGCGCAGACGAGTCTCGTGCCTGGGCCGCCGTTGAGCAACACAGAAATTCCGGCTAATGTAGCCAGCCCCTTGTTCCAAGACTTTTTGGGTTTAAACAGTCATTAGCTGACGTGAGCTTCTCCCGGCCCCAGAATACTAGCTCCCGCTCAAGCCCTCAAATGGACGTTGGCCAGCTACCGGTAACACTGTGAACGGATTTGACCCCTCACTTGGCCCCTCGTTTAAATCCGGTGCCCCGCCTTCAATATTGGACCGGACACCCGCCGAAGGATCATGGCTTTCAAATTCTTCGCCATGAGGGATTTTGGGTAAAGAAAGATCATACACCACGTAGAACCGAGAGACCAGCTCTAGTCTTTTCCAACTACACTTCGAAATGTCTTCCAACCTTCATCAAGCGCCCCCTTTCAGGGCGGAGCACTTGGGCTCCCTACTCCGGCCCCAGAAGCTCCTCGACATCCGAGAGGGGAAGATCCGTGATCAGGGCCTATCCGAGGAGGAAGCTGGCCTTCCAGCCGTCGAAAAGGAGTCTGTGACCGAAGTCGTACAGCTGCAGCGCGATCTAGGCATCAAGGGCGTCACCTCAGGCGAGTTTAATCGCACGCGCTTCTGGGGTCTGATGTGGGACGAGTTCGAGGGCACAACCCGCCTGCAAGATGCCGACGCCAGCATGTTCCGCCTATACCACCCGGATGTTGTGAGCCTCATTGAGAAGGACCGTAAGGTCATGCCTGGCGACTCCGTCATTGCTGGCGGCAAGCTCTCCCACTCGCCGGAGAAGTCCAAGTCCAACCTCCATGAGCTTCATCTGGTTCAGGCTGCTCTTCCTAAGGAGGAGTGGAAGAACATCAAGTTGACCATGATCACACCCGCCTGGTTCCACATGCGCTACAAGCAAGGCAGAGCCTATACCAAGGAGGCGTACGCCAACGATGCTGAGTACTTCAGCGACGTCGCGAAGGTCTATCAAGCCGAGCTCCAGCAACTCTACGACGCTGGTCTGCGCAACGTCCAATTTGATGACCCCGGAATGGCTTGTACGTTACCCAACTACTTGATGGAGACCTAGTTTCTGACCGTGTTCAAGATTTCTGCTCTCAAAAGTTTCGCCAAGGTTGGGAGGAGGACAAGGACAATGAAGGCAGCGTTGAAGACCTCCTCGACGCTTACATCAAGCTCTACAACGATACTATCAACAAACTGCCCAAGGATATGCACACGGGTATTCATCTCTGCCGTGGTAACTTTATTGGCGGTCGTCACTTTGCCGAGGGCTCCTACGACATTATTGCCAAGAAACTCTTTCAGAACCTGGATGTCAACACTTTCTACCTTGAGTACGATACTGAGCGTTCGGGCGGCTTTGAGCCCCTGCAGTTCCTGCCCAAGGACAAGAACGTTGTCGTCGGCATCATCAGCACCAAGATTCCTAAGTTAGAGGACAAGGAGGAGATGAAGGCTCGCGTCCTCAAGGCGGCGGAGTTTGTCGCCAAGGGCAGTGGTGAGACCAGGGAGGAAGCTCTTAAGCGTATTTGCGTGTCGCCTCAGTGCGGTTTCAGCACCCACGAGAGCGGATACCCCTTGAGTCTGGAAGATGAGAAAAGTAAGCTTTCTCTGATCAGGAAGATTGCTGATGAGATCTGGGGCGAGGCATGAGATGTTTACTGGAATGTACATATCATATCGGGTTGCAGTGGGATTCAGTTGCTATGATGGGGATGTAACATTCAACATGCGAGGTTTCGGAGTGTCTGTCGGTTTTAGATTACTGTAAACGGCTCCAAAAAACATTTGGTCTTGTATAACTCGTCTACACAGCTTTGTCAAATGGTAAAAGAAGGTTGTTTATGGCTGGTACTACGTTTTGCTGTTTCATATGATTATTAAATTCGTGATAGAATCTTTCTTAAGCCAAATACCTCCTACGTCTCACACCGAAAAGGGGAACGGATTCCGAGATAAATAGTCAAAGTTTGTATTTGGCAGTTGTGGCTAGTAACACCTGTGTTTTCAAAGAAGTCTCCCTATACATGTAGTCTTTAGGGCTTGAGCGTGGGTATTGAGCTGAAGGTATGAGAGAAGGAATAAATGAGGGAAGGGAATAAATAAAGTGGATATCAACCTCAAAATAGAGAACTCTCGAATCGAAAAATCAGTAGCTGAACTCGGCCATCTCATGGCTAATGTGATGGGCAAGCCTAGATGGCCTTGACTGAGCGGATAAGGGCCGTAACGCTGCTTGAAACTCGGCTCAAGAGTGAGTCCTCGGACTCGTTGGTCATGACGCTACGTCCGGTCTCGCTCGATCGTCTTCGCTGGTACATTTCCTTGACGAACTTGGGCCAAGTGTTCGTCAAAACAAGATACTTAATGTGACCATCCGCGCTGTCGAAGACGGTAGAATCAAACACTGCGGGAATCTCGCCAGTGTATTTGGCTTGGCTGCGAATGTTGCCATTGCTTTCCGACCTTGAACCTTCGCGCTCCTGCATGTATGCGTCGTCGAATGGTGTAGCGATGTTGACTGATGAATCCTCACCGAAGAGAACACGGGCAGGCTTGTCGAAAACATTAAACAGGTGCTTCATTTCCTGCGAAGGTAGGTTTAACGGAAACTCGGCGTGCTGAAGAGAGATGAAGTCGGCGTAGATCTCCAGAGCATGATTGTATGCGTCTAGCCTTTCCTCCTCGCCTAAAACGTCTCGGGACTCAGAATCAGACAGTGCACTCGGCCATGATCGAGACTTCCACTCAGAAACGCGAGCCAGGAATGCAATATTCTCTCCGGAAAAGTCACTGAGAGCTGAGAACTCTTGAATTGCACTCTGGTTCTCCCTGAGAGCGTGGTTAAGGGCAGCCATTGTCAGCAAACGACTATCTGGCTCAGAGCTTAAATCTGAAGAGTCCACATGGTAGACGGTTGGCTGGCTCTTTTCTGCCTGGCTGGAAGACACAACGCTCTTGGGGCCGTGAAATGATACCACGTTCGATGATCTGGGATTCATTTGCGAACATGTGTCCCATTTTGCGTTCGCATCTGTTACATGTTTGGCCTGGATGCGGAGACGGACGAGCTGAACGAGCGGGACGAAGATAGTAAAGATCTCAAACATCATGGTAGATAGGTGAATCCTTTGGTTCTCCATCAGCGACCGTCGACTACATTTCCTGTTTAAGGTGTTACTTACCATTGGCTCGGCGTAAAGTACATATTGATCTTGTTGAAGGCCGGCACGTACGATGCAATAAGAAACATTGGTGTCGCATGGAGACTAGGCAGCACCCAATTAACGAACCTGCTGTAAATAGGAGACATGCAGCGTTGACCAACCTTGAAAGACAGCAACCGATGGTTTGTGTTCGCCATCCCATAGTATCGCGGATATTCCAAGCTCGCCAAAGCAGAATCGGTGCGACCTGGATGTCAGTCAGTCTTCCATGTCGGAAGTGGGCCACGTTCACTGAGGCTAGCGTTGCGTACGTACGATCCAGGTCCAAACAAACTGCCAAAGTACTGTGGGCCACCATTCCCATCCTCGGCCCAAGTCAATCAACTGCTCTGGAAGACTTTCGCCGCGTATTTCTGTGCCCGGAATACCGAACGTCGGGTGATATTTCTTGCAGGCTACCCACATGCCAGCAGTAAGGATACACTAGAAGCACCAGTCAGTCTTTTTGTTATTGAACCGCAGGGGAGGCTTCGAAGGGACGTATCTACCTGGGCCACAATTCCACTGCAGATAAATACCATGAGCCTCTTCCCATAGTCCATGTTTCTGAACCTGCAGAGCCACGACGTCTTCGCACCGTTACATCCTCGGTGGAAGTGAGCCCCATTGCCCGTAAAGTGAAGTCTCTGTAGCTTGGCGACATGTAGGAACCTGCTGTTGGAAGCATGAAACAAGGCAATGCCTAAGGGAAACCAGATGCCCATAACGAAATACTGAACGTCGTAGGCGATGACGACCGGCATCGTCCCGCCGATCGGGTACGTGATCTGGGCCATGCACCAATACATGTGCAGAAATATGATGGAACCGAAAGCCAGCGGCAGACCTCGAATCTTAAGGATAGGATTTGTACGGTTGGCCCACAGAAAAGCCATCCCAGCGAGTACAATGGCCGTCCATAACGCACAGAAAGTGATGTAGAAGATGCCTATACTATCCCATTTTGGTGGCATTGGGGGGAGGTTGTAGATTGTAAGGCCAGCCAACACTGTGGGATCCATAGTTTCGACAGCTGGATGTAACGGCAATAGCAGCGAGGGAAGATGGAAAAGAATTGTTTGTCATGGAATTTCCTTACTTGGTGTAAAAAGAAGGGGGAACAGTGGCAGTTTTAAGACAAGAAAATTCTCGTGGATTACAGTAGAGAGGTTAAGAAGCAAGACGTTTCATGGCCGAAAAACAACTTTGCCAAGCAAAAGCCTCACAAACAACAGTATCGGCACCTTGAAGCATGGTGATCCGCCATCTAAGATCGCCAGATCCAGGCGAAGTATTGCGTGCTTGGCGATAATACCAATGTGGTACGGGCACCCGATTCTTCTGAAGCAATGAATCCCGTTGTCCCGCGTGTGTAACGGACTCTTCCCCCAAAGTGTGGCTTTTTTAGCGTGAACGAAAAATGTCTAGCAGTCCTATCACCCAAGGGGATTAGGGGTTCGTTTCGACTCAGCTTCCTTCTATTTCTTTGATTTTTTTTGTTTTGATGATCTCTCATGCGGTCTGTGCTTCCCGGCTTCCGAGCAAACCGACTCACTAGACATTGTGGCTGGCTGCGCTAGATTCGGGACGGCCCAATGAGAGAAATACCGTCCTGCCTTAGACAGTGTGATCTTCACGAGTCAATCTTCTCAGGGGAAAGTGGAATGGACAGTCTCGTATGCGTCAGGTCTCGAAAAGCCGACCAATGAGTCTCCCACATTCCGAGTCAACAAGACCGTCGCCTTGTTTCCTTTCATCTGTGCAGCACTAGGGACATACAGGCTCATGATGGATTTCCGATCTATCAATAACCGGCGTTGAGATTGACGGCGATAGACGCATGTTGATCATTTGCTAGGGTCGCGGGTTTTTCTTGACCGATTGTAGGTGCTCCGAGCTTTTGATATCTCGGCGGTTACGTATGTGAATTGAGAAGGACAGACACCACTATATTTTAGACATCAATTATGACTCGTTACTTCAGGGGGATCCGACCTGTTCTGCCTCATTGGAAGCAGTTCTGTGAGAGAAGGCAGTAGATACAACTGGGTGAGAGCGTATGAAAATTAACTGAACCCCAAGGTCAAGATAATGTTTCCGGTGAGAAGCTTGATCTTGGTGAGGTATCTATTTTTTGTTGGAAACAAACCAAACGCCCGCAGCCCGACTCAAAAATTGCCATTATCCACTTAGCCACCGGCTGACACAACTTGGTAAGTAAAAGTAAAAAGCTCATCCAGGGGGCCTTGAGTGATATGCATATTGTTTAAGTACAGTTGCATTTTCTCCCAGTCTTTGTGACATAAACTCCAAGACTTACCAAATGTGATGGTTCTTAAGAGACCATGCCTCATTGTCCAGTCTAGCTTATCGAAGTATTACTCAAATTTGAGTCGGTAAGTCGACAGCGTTATTATGATCGTCGCTGTCGTCGCAAGTGCACCTCTAGTCTCATCCCAAATGTTTGTAACCTCGATTGGGTACCTTATATCCTCAAATTGGCAGTAGGTGGCAAGCAGTTCTTCCAAAGCGTGGAACAATGCAGTTTTCCCATTTCGAATAAAACCTGATGCAGCGAAAATGGAGATCTCCCTCGTCAGGCCGGATGATGTTGGTTCCGGATCATCATGTTTTGCAAACCTTAGCTCTAACCTATTGACTAATGTCCAACGCCAGCCTTTTTAAGGGCATGGAAAGCCAGAAGGGGTTTCGAGGCCATTTTTCCTCGTATAAGTGTACCAGAAACTTTTGGTACCTCTCGTCATGCCCAATGAAAGATATGTGGAGCAAAGGGGGACTTCAGAATGGCTTATTGTTTGGAAGCCTTGGCAGACATGGCGTTGATTAGCAGTGAATGGGGGAGTAGTAAGTTTACGCCATCGCACTCTGCGCTCCACTTAGGTGTCACAGCGATTTGAAAAGCCGGAGAATCAGCATCCATCCAACGATCCCGTTGCCAAGAAAGAATGACTTTAAATCAGTCCCGAAAGAGCTTCTCCAATCAACGATTAGAGCCGTGACATGGATGAGGAAGGTCGTACAATCGTTAGCGGCGACGGTTTCGACAAAGAGGGTGGCAATCCGTCGCGTGGAACATAACCCTGAAATGGTGACCACTGACAGCCTTCTTTCGAATTTTGGGGTAGTTGAGCCATTGTGAGCCCAGGTGGAATCGCGACAATGATGGGGAAGAAGCATTCTGCCTAGCTGATACAGCACTTTGAGCCACTATTAGTCGAAAGAAGACAGCGTGTCTTGTCCTAAACGACTACGTAAACACTAGGCATGTCTATTCTGCGGCAGCAATATACGAGAGTCAAGCAGAAAGAATATCGCATTTGTTTAGCTTATAATCAGCCGAAAAGCCCAAAAGGTAAGATCCCACAAGACTTTTGTAGGCAAAAACTCTATTGTCAGCCATAGAAAGGCACGTTTAGGAACCTTGACTGGCGAGGATATCAAAAGAGGCCTAGCATCGACTGGGTAGTCGCTTGTTACATAGCCCGCCCATTGATAGGCCGTCCTCTTTCCAAGGACTACGCACCACCAGTCCGATAACGTAGCAGATCTGTAGAGGGCAATATTATAATTAGCACTATCGGAATAACGACACCACTTGACTATACGATATGCACGACTCAAGGACACGCACGATGGAAGAGGGCACAGACTGGAAATCGGCCCTCGGTTATCCAATGAGGGGATCAAAGTATATTCATGCCGAACTGGCTCAGAGACGTACAAGATCATATATCCCGTGTACGAAAGCCAAGTCTTGTAGTTAGAAAGATAATCACGGAAATACATCTTTGGTTCACCCCTACATTTTAACCCAGGTGCGATCGTACATCTGGGTTCTCTCAACAAGAAAGCATCCATTCAACAAGCACATCTAATTATCATGCCCCGGACAGGGATTCTGCCTTATATATGGTGGCATGGTCGATGCCTATGAAGGCTGTTCATCTCCACTGTCAACTTGGGTTATCCAGCAAGTATGTGAAGGATGCCAAGACACAGTCGCTAATATTCAAAGAGGTCCAAAAGGGCTTCGAGAAAAAGGTTTCCTGATTGGCAGCTACTCTACAACTAGCTGACTCAGTAAAATCACATATTAAGAATGCAAAAAGAAGGAAACCGAAAGCTTTCAAAACGAACCTCAACAAAGAATTGCCAGCATTGAAAGCACCTGCCAGTCTCGAATAGATGTCGACGAAGTTGAACTTAGTCAAGACGAATCCAGTGATTCTAGTAGCTCTAGTGATAATGAGAGCCACATCTTATTTGCTTGTGGGCAGACAGAATAGTATCAGCGATAGATGGAGTGTATTGCTATAGCAATTATGCTGTGGTGCTGAAAGAGGGGAGTGACAAAAGCCCCCAAGTGACGTTATCTGTTCGGCCCAGAAAGCTCTTGCTGGCCCTTTAGCAGCTAACCTCCTTAGATCACGGGGATGAACAAATTGTCTTGAAGAGTAAGTAGGATGAAGGGACATAACAAATCTACATTTATCATGCTCAACTGCCTGAACATCATCCTTCTTGATTACATTCCCTGCCTCCAAACCAGGTCTTACGTGTCCGTTTGGTGTTTTATTCCCTTGGTACCAGGAAAAAGATGCTAACAAACCAGAGCAGTCTACAGGCATTGGCTGTACCACGCGTTGACATAAGTGCAGGTGGTGCCGGAGACGCAAGCAAAAGGACCGGGCCAGCCTTGGCCGCCGCACTGGCCGTACTTCTGAGACTGGCCGCCACCAGGAACTGCGGTCGTAGTGGTGGAAGCGGAGCTGGTGGTCAACGTCGTTCCGGGGGCGGGGGCAGTCGTGGTCGACGGGGGCGGGGAACCACCGGTCGCAGCAGCAGCGAGGAGGGAGGACACGGAAGTGTACGCAGGCTTCTTGTTGTAATTAGAGTCCCAAAGTAGGGCATCACCCGCTCCCGAGAAGGTTGAGGGGATCCAGCTGTACTTGTCCGTGAATCCCCAGATGGTCACACCGACGCAGCCAGCGACGTCGAGGCATGAGCCGACAACGTTGGCGTAGTCGTTGCCCTGAGTTGCACTGGCAGCCGAGGAGGCCGGGAGGCTGGAGTGGCGGATGTCGAGCTCAGTGTAGGCAACCTCCAGATTCAGAGCGGTAAAGCGGCGAAGGGCGGTAGCAAGAGCGCTGCGGCTAGGGGTTGAGCCGACAATCAGGTGGCCCTGGAAACCAACACCATCAATAGGGGCGCCAGCTTTCTGGACGATTGTGACAGCCTCGTAAACGCGGTTGGTTTTCGCGCCATTATACTCCAGATTGTAGTCGTTATAGTACCTAGCTAATATCAGTATCCATATGCAATACGTAATAAAGTAGCCCGGTAAGTACTGACAACTTCGTGTTAGGATCAGCGGCCTTGGCTGCTCTGAAAGAAATGGGGAGGAAGTCGGTGCCGAGCACGTTGTAGAAGACACTCTTGCGCCAGCTTCCGTCGTCGTCAGCAGCTTCATTAACAACATCCCAGGCGTAGCACTGGCCCAAGTAATGTTTCATGACATTTGAGATGTGAGTTTCGATGACGGATGTCAGGGTAGCGGCGGTCCACGATCCACTGGAGACCCAACTCGGGAGTTGAGAGTGCCTGGCGTTCGTCAGTCATAGTGTCCAAGACACAAACGTCCAGGCATACCTACCATGTCAGAGTGTGGCATCGCAGAATCTGGCCGTTTGCCTTGGCAATGTTGGGAACCTTCAAGGCGATTATTTGTCAGTTATTAATATGCTAGTGATGCCTGCGCACCTATATAAAATAGGAAGATGCAACTCACGATGTCTGCGTTACTGTAAGAGAACGAGCCCTGGCTTGGCTCGGTGTTTTGCCACTTCTGCCCGTTCTCGGGAACCAAAGAACCGAATTCGTTCTTGTTGTTCACGACAGCTCTGTAGGTAGCATCGTTAACCTGGCCTTCACCGACGGCAGTTCCGAAGTACTTCAGACCAGCGCGGACAGCAAGGGTGTTGAGCTGGGCCGAGACGAGGACGGGGCCCAATAGGACCGCGATAAGCGCCTTGGCGTACATGCTTATAGATTCGGTCAGTAGCCAACTCTCATAGACAACACTGTTCACGTCAGGCGAGTGTTGGAATACAACCGGTGCAATCAATTTTAATTTGAGGCGGAAGAAACGTCAAACTTATAGATGAGCCCTGGATTGTGTCTCGTTGCGATGGTTCGCAGGAGGGCCATGATAAATGGCTTATATCATTTATCCCGGCGCTTTCCATACATCTCGGTACCTCCGTTGTGGGCTAGAGTCTTTGGTTTTGGTATGCGGGAAGCGTCTCCGGTCCATCGGGTCTGGTGATCTCTGCCAATGGCTAGACCAGTCCGGGTTGGTAGCTATCGAATGGTGGCCGCGACAGCTTCCGCGCATCCAGCAACACATACTTCCTGCACCGGCATTCATCCTTTTACCCGGCCTAGTCTATCTCTGCGCTATAGTGATGCCTAAAGGTTTAGGCTAGTTCGCCAAATTCCCCGCGCGAGGTCGGATAGAGCAACAGTAGGAGTGCCGTGGCAGCGTGGCCATATCTGACAAACGACCTTGGCATGCGGAAGCTGCTCCGAGAACTTCTGTGCCTGGGCTAGCGCGATGATGGGAGGGTGGGTACCTGTCTCCATCCTCATCTGAACTTTTTCCAATATGTAATGTGGCGACGCCCCTAATGGGTCGAAGAGAAGAGCACATTACGCACGAGTGGTGGGGATCGCTTGTTGCGCTCAATTCCACTTCAGGCGCAGCGACCAAAATCGCCTAAATTCCCACCAGTAGTGATTGTTCACGGCATACTGGTTCAAAATTTCAGGTTATTCTATCAAATAGTCCAAGTGTTCAACAAACCGTGACCCTTGTAAAAAATTGGCAGCGACCGCCTCAATGTAGTAGTTCCACATTAGCCTGAATAGCTGCACATTATCAGCCCTCCGCCGTTACACTGCATAATGAAGCTGGGCAGAACTGGGCTACCGGAATATTGTCTTCAGCTTGACTTGGACACGGAGGACAACGGCTTGCTCCGAATGCCAAAGACAAAACTTGAGAGGACTTGAGTGCACATTGTATGAGTACGATTGAAAGTTGAGGCTATAAAGGACCAAGATTTGAACGACGCTCCGAAACAGCAACTGTTTAGCTATCTTGTTGCAGAATAGTACCAAGATCAAACGGAATAGGGAATGTAGTGGGTCAATCACGTGTTCGGACTTGGCCCAATCTGCACTCATAGCTATCATGGCGAGAGAAATTATCCCAGATCTTACATTCTTATCGATGCTAAATCCAAATAGCTCAACCTTGATATCCTCAGAAGAGCTTGGACGAACTCCTTACAGCACGGGCGGTCGATAATGCGATAACCACGCTCATATCTTTCGTCGGTGTCTCATCATAGCCATGTTCAGTCGCAGACTAGAACTAGAACCTTTTAGCTAATTGAACGAACTCTGGTTCGAAGATTTCGGTTTTCGATAACTACTTGAAAAGCTCTGGTGTTTCTTTTGCATCTGCTTAGTCAACAATGATAATTGCAAAGGGTGCGCTACTCGCTAACTCAAGAACCAATACTTTATTCCACGTCGCCCACAGTATACCGGACATGGGCTGAATGAGAGCCCCGTTTGTTGGCAGCCTGGCACTCAGGATAAGGCCTTTGTGCTTAATGTCCACTTACATATTGAATCCCAGTTCCCTGTAGCTCTCTATAAGCAGCCCACAGTTTCGAATCGATCACTTTCAATTCGGAGTGTTCGAGTCCGTGGCAAGTAAAATGTTGGCGGCATTCGCCACTTCTCACCGGTGCCTCTTCCACCATCAAAATATTCACCATCTCCATATCAGATTCCGATCTCAACACCATGCTTGTATCTCTCTCGCCTTCCATAATCGAACCACCTGCTTGGGAAAATACGCAACCATCGTACGGGATAACCCACAAGTGGCTAGCTGGTGCTAAAGCTGCTTGGCTTAACCCATTCCCCCGCGAACTCGTTCCAGCACCACAAGCGTGGGTCGAAAACCCATCTCCCAACGTGGTGTTCTATAATGACTATGAGAGAGTAAGTCGCCTTGGAGGCTAGGAGCTCTGGCGGTAGCTTCTAGTGGAGGGGTCGGTCGATGGCTGACGAGAAGACATAGGGTGGTCACTTTCCAGCGCTGGAGGAATCAGAGGCCATGCCAGGTGGACTCGAAGAGTTCATCGCGAAAGTCAAACCAGCAACAAGTGACAAGCCCGTAGAAGAATGACTCATGAATCTTTCCATCACTAGCAACTCGGTACTCAAAATCGGCAGAAGTTTCACATTCTGGCGGATCGCATCAGCTGGGCTAGGTACCCACCTTCAACCCGCAGTTTCTCGGATTCAATGAACCAAGCTCGGCAAAAGCTTCTCTCGGGGATGGCAAGCAACGTAGAAGCTTTCAGTTCGCTTCTAGATGTTTCTGAGTGGCATTGCGAGGAGACTTTGCCAACAAAAAAATGTCTTATTTGTTAGTTTCTCAGACGTACATCCCGTGTTTACAAGCCATGTGGTGGAGGTCATACAACATGTAGTACCGACCCCTGAAGGGCTGAGAGATATTCTCCCAGACTTCTCCGCAGGAGGAAAGTTTATGCGAGGACTCAAATCCTCGGGCGCCTTTCCGAAAACAAGTCGGACTTGGTGTCATGGCAATGGGAGTATTGCGGCAGATCGAAGATGTTCTGATAGAAGAAGCTAGAGTATGGTCTGACTACACTTCTGAGTGGTGTGCGACGATATATGTCTCGGGATTATGAAACTGGGCTCGCTGGTGCGGGTGAAGCGAGGACATCGGCGATGAAGTATGGAAGAATGGCCACTTCCTTGATCAGCCTTTCTTGAAAGGAGTAAAACCTGTTGCATGCTTCCGTTGGTTCGATCTCGGCATTTCCGTTTGAGTACTAGGTCTTCGTCATAACAATGCTTCGAAGAAAAGACGGTATCACAGCATGTGCCATAAGTCTTGACATTCCCCCTTTTCCAGGCTTTTTTCTACCCTCCGCCGATGTAGTCTCACTCTGAAAGCCGGATGAGGCTCTGCACCCATTTTCTTCATCCAGCTACAGGTCCGATGTTGTTGAAGTATGATATTGACTGACTTAAGCATGCCGTGGCACACTCGTAGCCAACGTGTCACCTGGCTTATGGGCCACGGGGATACTTGACGCGTCAGAACGCTCGTGAATGGAAGGATTCGGCTCCCGGCGTATTGTTCGAGATGTGATTGTTTGTATTTCTATCTCCGCTTTCAGTTACTGGTTGTAAAAGGACCTCTCTGACGAAACTGGGCCTACGATACTCTGATATCCACGTCCTCAAATACATTGCTGTTGACCAGAGAAGCCGGGCTTCCAGATCCCCGAAGGAACACTAGCTGATGCAACATGCAATTACCCTTTGTTCTGGTTCCAAGTCGTGCTACCACGGCCAAACAGAGATACGGGTAACTACACGAGATTAGGTGGACCCTAGCTCGCCATTCCTCCGCGGGAAGCGCACCCCACGAATCACGTCTTGTCACGAGACAGGTCGGATGCAAGCCTGCCCGACATCGAGGGGCCGAACCTCTTGAGACTGAATCACGCATGCAGCACGAGTCTCGGGCACAACGAGGTCCAATATTTCTGTCCGACGACAGGAATACGGTTATTCTGATGTGTCCCCAACTCCTGCGTAGACATTGAAACAGAAAAAATGCCGGGTTACCCTGCAGAGTGGTTGGTGTCAGGCCATTCAACGTGGGAAGGTCTCACAAGGGCTTCAAGTCAGCACCGATGGAGTCGGTTCCGAGGGCAAAAGGCCAATGACTGTGCTGTTTACGCCTGGAGCAGCCTTCGACTGGACCGCACCTCTCCGCATCCAACATGACAAACTCTACTATCTGCACCTTGGGTGATATACACACCACGCAGGCAGCCGCTGACTGTAAGCATAGACTTCCTGGTAAATCATCCAGCTAAGGCTGCAACTCGGTGACTTTCTAACTGCAAACCTTTTTAAGGCGCGATACCTTGACGGCGAGAGGTCTAGGGCGAACTTGAAAGCCACCGCTAGCGCAGTGGAACAAGTCAAGTCGCACCTGTGCTTTTGTGCTTGACGACTACTCATGGGACGGACACAAGATAGCCATGCGATGTTACGACACAAGGCCGCTTCGGGGCCCGTTGGGCAATTTCAAACAACGTATGTGCAACTCATGGCGTATTGTGGGCTCATCTGAAGAGGTCGAGTTTGCCATGAACGACTACTCCCCTTGAGGAGGTGAGAATGGGCGGTAATGCTTCTCGGAGGTAAGAGGGTTCATCGGTATGATGAAGGTATAAAGAAAATGAGAGTCTCATGGCGTGGTGATGTGCAGTTCACACTCGTCTTCTCAGGCATTAGCTTGACCAACCAACATCTCATCATCACAGTCGGTAGTCTTTGTTTCCATTCTTAAGAACTAGCAAAGAAAACCATCAAGGCCGACCTCATAAAATCTAGTTTGTCAACACCTTTTACCAATATAATGGCTAAGCAATCCTTCAAGCAGGCCTCCTCGTTCAAGCCGAAAAGTCAAAACAGTCGCCCCTTCACAGTAAAGACCAACGGACTAACATTCTCTCAGGCTCCAGCAGCAAGACCCTAGTGGCCAGAGCCCCTCCTCGAGCGCGGCCCATGGGACCTCCTCAAGCACCGTCCCGGTGGACCGCTCGTGGCAGAACCAGTCGCTCGACCGAAGCCAGACAGCGCCGGGAGGCAGCGGCAGCTACGGTGTCGGGAGGTGGTTGACGGAGCCGTCGTGGCAGGAGCCGTTCAACACCATCGCCGAGGTGCCAGCGGCCGGATCTGCAGCAGGGCCCGGGGGCGGGCGTCAGGGGTCGGGCGCGTCGGCAACGCACGCCACATCCCGGACGCAGCACCGCTGGACCCTGGAGGCGGGTGGAAAGGCGTGCGAGCGAGCCTGAGATCGCTGGGGCTTTCCTCAATCTTTTCGAGCTGTAGCCTCTGCGTTTCCTTTTGTTGGGACGTGTCAATTCATAGACCTGTATGCACCCGCAATAGACGTTTTCTGGGCCCAAAAGTACACTGCTCAGCCTGCTCAGCCGCATCACTGTGGAGATGAAGGGAGGGCCAACCCGTGCACCGACTGTCGGAGGACGGGTGGGCGGGCATGAGTGGCGGGAGCATTAACTAGCTTGGCGATCGGGCTAGTCTGTGGCTCGGGAACATGTCAGTGAATCGGGGTGCAATATGTGACAAACTTTACGAGATGACCCAAGGTAGCTGAGAAGTGCGGTAATGAATCCTTGGGTTTATGCCTCTGCAATAATAGCGGGCAAGGACGACTCGAGCAGCCTGGGCGCACAATCAAGTGTCGCATAAACTTCGCCGTGTTGTTCGTCCGAACAATCGACGCCCAGCTGCACAGCACAGTCTCAACCGTATTTTTCTACCTCCGCCCTACAAGGGCAAACTCGTATCTGCCTTTTTCCCTCTTGGCTCCTCGAGCTCATTCAGGCTATCGATTTCGGACGCATCCGGTTTAGGTGGCCCGCCGAGCCCAACGGCGCAGCTTGGCGCGGCCTTGTCCCAAGCAGAAACGCCAGAAATGGAGAACGTCATGCATGCTTCTTGCATCCATTTACCGCGGGCACCCCGCAGAGAGCCAAGAACACTCGGAGACTCGATGTCTAACGAGAGAGGTTGGGTCAGAAGTCGCGGAATGCTGAGTGATTTGGTCAACGCGATGGACCGGATCAGTGTGGATGGTGATGTGAGAAGCAATAGTCTGTGCGGAGTTTGGGTGATGAATGTGCAAACTGGATATTGGCGAAATTGAAGAGTTGCAGCGAGATCTGTAAGCCGACCGCCAAGGGACAGACTTATTTTTGGCAGTGTGGTTCCCTGGCTCACGTCCTCCCTCGCTGCATAATTCTGTGCCTGCCAGGGTCGCGCGCTCTGGCCTGTCGTGTTGGCGTGGAGAAGGCCATGGGGAGAGGGAGTTTTCCCTCTCTTCCTGTGTTGGACGGAGGGTAACAAGCTTCTTAGGTAAGCAAGCCAAGGTAAGCTGGCGACAAGGTGAGGGAAGGAAGGGAGGGGAGGTCAGCAAAGGTGAGGAAAGTACCCAAGTACCGTCTCGGTCTCGCAGGTTTCTCCCTCGCGTCCACCGTCCCCTATGACGCCTTTTTTCTGGCTCAGTGTCTCTCGCAGGTCAGGGCTGGCTGTTGTCTGTCGTTCCCTGTCGACAAGGAGTAGCAAAAAGCATAAGCATAAAAGCAGAAATGAGACGGTGTGCAATCAGGCCGGCCGCATGACGTCAAGCAAATCTCAAAGAGCCATCTTAGACTTTGCAGCGAAATTAATTGGCAGCCGACAGTAGACACTGTTTTTCCCCGGGTTGAATGAATGAATGGCGTGCGTGCCTTTGGTGTGTGTGCCCGAGGTCCCCCAAGTTTTCCAGCGGCCATTTTAGCGCCGCGCTTGTTTTGGAGTCGATTGCCTGCTGTGCTGTGGGTAGGAAGACTATGCCTGAGACGAGACGGCAGAGAGAAAATCCTTCAAGACCACTACAGCAAATCCATCGCTCAATGCGCACCCGCAACATCCTGACGCAGCCCAGACGCCGTGTTTTGCCTTGAGATTCGCTTCTCCTTCATCGCCGTAGCCCCTTCTCCACGTGGATACGCCTCAGTTTCAGTGTTTCCGACAAGGAGGTCGAGCGGCAGGTAGCTGGGCAGGACTCGGTGGGGATGAAGGGGCATGCTTGCAAGGGAAGACGACGAAGGTCAGGGACGGCCAATGTCATCGAATGATTCGACTGAAGACACTGGAAAGTGTTTGCAGCAAGCAGCCAGCAACAAGCAACAAGCAACAAGCATGCGCTGATCGCTGGATGCGATGCAGGGCCGCTGAGACAGAGAAACGAGCGCTTGGGTCCTCTCGAATCCGCAGCAGCTCTCTCTCACCCTGGAAATTCACCCTTGCTAGGTAATTACCTTAGTGATGGATGGTAAATAATTACAGTGTTCTCTGTCCCTCTGGAACTTCACTCTAGGGGCACGTACCGTTCGATTCATCTGTTCTCGACCAGTCCACCTCGTCGTCCCTGACGAGCGTTGTCCACAGATTGCTGCACAAAGGCTGGTAATCGACGACTGAAAGAGGAATGGCGCGCTCTTCATGAGCCAGCCACCCCCTGCACCATTGCACACTTCCGTCCCCGGCTGTGTCGGGTACACCTCTGGCCCGGTGCCCGCGCTGCCTGTGTTCTCCTGGCGGGGAGACGGGTTGCTACAAGATGGGGAAGGCGGACAGAGGAGGGAGACGCTGTCCCTCTAACAAACGGGCTGGGAGACAAAAAGGCGAGCGAACAGTTTGGAGCCTGGGTTTGGCGCGCCCTGTTGAGCTCGTCGACGCCTCGCTCGACACCTGCGTCACCTGGGCACTCGGCGTCTTTGTCCATTGTATCGGGTTCCCTTGAGCCTTCTTTCGTCTCCTCTCGTCCACAAAGGGACAATCAGCAGTTGACAGGGCAGCAAGCCACGCTCGACGATGGACACGCCCTGCGCCGCAGAGGTGCCGTGGTGTCTTCAATAGCCTAGTCGTTTCTCAGATGGCTGGCTGGCCGCTCGTCTGCCTCTCCCCAGCTCGCGCTCGGCCGGTCCGGCTAGCTCAACTGGCGCCTGCACAGCCCGGCTGGTGCTTCTTCTCTTGTCCAATATCGCCTGCCAGTCACCCAGAGACATGCACCGCATCGTCAGTGTGCCGGTCATCACAGACTCCCGTGTCGTAGATGCATCAGGCTGCAGCGGAGCGAAGAGTCTGGGTGAGATGACGAGCGAGAGATGGCAACGAGAGTGAGATGGAGGATGAACCAGTGCATCAGTACACACGCCGCCAGAGCAAGGGTGAGCAAGGAAGAGATGCAGACAGTACGTACCGGCCGTCCTGAAGGCTCTCGCTCAATCCCACAGCGGCCGTTTCCACCCGTGAGACTTTGCACTCTGGGCAGTGGGAACATGCGACCCGCCTCATCCCCCAACCTAAACCCAAAGATGCAGCCATCCTTGTCCCGTCCTTGACCAGGGACTCTTGGGTGGTTAGGGAGGGGACATGGAACCCCAGACCCAGTTCAGCCAATCTCTGGCCCAGTCGCTGGCCCGTCGACTTGACGAGACTCCGAGAACCCGTGGCTCTCGCAGCGCTTCCCTTGCCATACACGCAGCAGGGCCCCGCTGATCGTACAAGCGCCCCCTCTATCCAGCTGGGCTCTTCCCTTCATGTGCCTTTGTACTAGCCGATCGCTATGGCGTGTGCTAGTCAGTGCTGTCCTCGCTGTCGTGCTGTGGTGTACTGGCTGGCGCTGTTTATTGTGAGTTGTGGAAGGGGGAAGGGGGGTGGGTGGTGGTGGTGGAAGATGCAGGTGCTGTTTAGCCGTTTGCTGGGGCTGGCGGCGCTTCTGCATCGGCAAGCAGCACAACCTGGAAAGGGTACGTGGTCATATGTGTACAGCACAGTGATGTGCAAAGTACCACCCCTGGGTCATGCCATCGCATCGGTGCATCGCCCGTCCTTGGCCCCCGGCTGTCTTACCACGATTTATTGCTTTTTTGCCCTGTCGATTTGTGCCAATCGTCCCTCCGCCCATCGGCCGCCATCCAACTCAGTCATCAATTGCCCATGTCCCTCCTCTTGCCTCCTGACCACCATCGACTTTCTCCCTCTCTCCAACCACGACAAATCGACAAAGTCCCCGAACAACCCATATCCGTTTCTTCTCCCTCATTTCCCCTCCTCCCTCCGTAAACTCGCTCCGTCACCATTCGAGGAGGACCGGGAGTCAGGATCAAACCGAACCTTGCACGCTTCAACCATCCCGACCGACATCGTCGACCTCACACGATTCAACGTAGTCTGCCTCTCGATAGCCGACACTCACTTGGAACACCGCCCCCCGGTGCACGACGTACATACGAACAAGGACCTAACCCAAACTCGGCTCCTCGACGACTCCTTTGGGCCCGCCTTACATACACGAGAACCTCGCCTGCCTCTAATCCCCCGTCCTCCGAAATCCGAACCGAACGAGTATTTGGTGACGAGCTACCGCCCGCGTGATTCACGACCCCTTTAGGCGTTGGACGAAGCCCCTGAGGATCAACGCACACAACCTGCAGACGCGCGGAATTCCGCCCCGTGGGAAAAGCATCAGCACTTGGCTATCTTCCCCCCCCGACGTCAAACGAATATTACGACACTTTGAGGCAGTCCGTGTGCCAGAAGCTGGGACGGCAGCTGGACCTTGCTCAACATCGACCAACTTGGGACGAAATTAGACGCTGCCGAGCGATCACCAAATTTCCCCACGACTCCAAGAACATATTTCGATTGAGAAGACGCACATAATTCGCCGTCACCACTCCACGTTGCGCTTCGCGTTCCTCTTCCGCCGCCAACCAATCTCTGGGCTTGACTCGCTGGATTGTGGCTCAATCTTAATACCCGTACCACCATCTGTGTTTTGGGCCACCCGCAATTAAGAGCAAATACCTGCCCGCGATTGCCTCTGCCGACTCCGCATTCCAACGACCCGTGTTGACTTGCACGTGCGACAACGCACCTACATCACTCGGCCTCCTGTTCCTTTTCTTCCCATATCTCTAGCCTTCAACTCTCCAAGTTTTCCCGGTTGACCCCTCAATAACACCGTCAAAATGTGTAAGTCTCACCCAACAGCCCCGTCACGATGTTGCATGATCTGATCATTGTCCAGCTGGTCTTACGACAACGATTATGCCCTTTGCGGACCTGCCGGCCTGCGCTCAGAAATGCGGTCCGCTATACGATGCCAATGGTGCTTGCGTGCCCCCTGCCGTCCCGGCTGCCGACGCCAACGTCTATGACACCTGCTTCTGCAGTCAGGCAAACCTCCAGCCTTTCAAGACGGCCGCCACCGGTGTATGTGACGCTGCGGGCTGCGATGCCGCCGGCTTCAGCAGTATCCAAGGATGGTACACCTCGTTCTGTAATTCCGTTGCCGGCGGTGCCGCTACTCAGTCATCCTCCGCCGCAGGATCCACATCGACGAGCGGAGCATCAAAAGGATCTTCCAACAGCGGAAACGGTGGCGACTGGTAAGACTTCCAAGTTCATTGTCGATATTCTTCTTGCAGGTCCTAACACCTTTCCAGGCTCTCCAACCACTGGAGATGGGTTGTGATGCTCGTGATCCTCGTCGTCGCTATCGCCGGCATCTGGGTTGGCGCTTGTATCTGGCGTCGGCGCTACCTCCGCCGGAAGGACCGTATGTACGAGCTCGGCAAGCACGCCCACCAGGGCCCCAGCGGCATCATCGCCGGCTCCGGCGTCAACGTCAACCACGCCGGCATCGTCAACTCGCCTGGCCAATTTATGCCTGGGTCCCATCCTGCGGTCTACGATGAGAAGCCCCCCAAGGAGAAGAAGAAGTGGGTCGTCAACCAGCGGACGTAGGCACTGTGATCTCAAAAGACTGGTGACGCAACTGCCCTTCATCATCAACACTCAACGGCTTAACGAGACGGCGTTCAATTTTTTCTTTTGCGGCATTTGGTGTTTGGATATCCACGCACATCGTTTTGGGTAAGACTTGTGCTGTTTTCCTGGTTTTTATTTTATCATCTATAGGCGTACGGCTGGAAACATGGGGCAGCTTCATCGTTGGACACGACAATCATTGGTGGCCAAAATACTTTCACCACGCAATCAAAAAGAGGTAGCATGGATAGGGTCGATGACATTGCTGGGGACCAAAAAGCCCGAACCTGCGCAACAGATGCGCCTCCGCTCTCCTGGCCGGGACTCAAATCGGCCCGGAGAGCGAGAGGCGCTCGCGGTCGGGCTCGGCTTCGTTCAAAATGATAATTATCTTATTTCTGTCCACGACTGTTGAAACGCATGGGCTTTCCGGCTGAGGGAATGTTTTGTTTGGCCGCTGCCAATGACTCGAAATAGGCGTCGGCTGTTAACGTGCGTCATTTTTTCATGACTTTGGTATCCTCCAAACTTGTCATGATCCACACCTGTCCGAGCGGGTTGATCACACTAATTGCCATGTGGGCACCAAGGTCCTGTCTCATTGACACGCGCATGGCGGCTCTCAAGTCTCGGTTTCAAATGAAGTGACAACAAAGAGGCTGACTAGGACTCAAGACTTTGTCATCGTTGTAAGAATGGGCAAGTTGATGCTTAAACACGCCCCCTACCATGTGAGGCTAGTATATGTAGGGGGTTTTCTATTCTTGCTTGACACGACGGCCCGTTCAATTCATCAGCAGAGTCACAATGGCGGTTCATCACGCAACGGCAGCTGTTGACATGCATACTTAGATTTCGAGAGAATTCGTCGCCAAGTCCTTGGTTAAATCATAGCAACCTCACAGTATAACACCCTGAATCACGCCTCTCAAATAAAGGAGTGTGTTGACTGGTGAAGCTATACATCATATGCCGCTGGGCACAGGTCCAGGAGGTTTTGCATACCGAACATGAGAAACAGTGTTTTACCACCGTACATGGAGTATGAAACAAGAGTCCCTCCTCAGAGTCCTGCCCATGCAGTCTGTTGTCTGGACTTGGGCGTCTTCCACATCTGCTTGGTCTCGGTCCTTTGTCGTAGGTAGCCCTGCTCTTTGACATGTGTTGGAGGGCTCGTCAACTATACAACGATGGCTATGTTCCTGCCCGGCGCTATTACGTTTGATGAGTCGAAGGAAGGCTGCCTCGTCTTGATCCGAGTGCCTTTTCATAGATTCTTGGAAACGTATCCGGCCAGATGAGGTCGGGCAAAAAAGGTGTTCCAGTCTATCATCCTGAGTTCAAAGCCAAAGCCCAAAGGTCCATTTATACCGCCTTCGTCGTTTTTGTCCTCACAAATCCCAGGTTTTTTTTAACTTTTTTTCGATTTCCACCCTTTGGTGTAAGCATCTACGTAGTTGAATCACGTATCATCAACAGAGAGTAGCAGATGTGGACTCACCTCTTTGTTGGTCTACAGAACGCCATTGACAGATTGTGGGCTCACATGTATTAATGTGTGCGAGTGTAGAAGGGGCACGACAAGGTAGAGGTAGCTTCCATCTGACTCTTGGAAACAATATCAGTGTGTAGCTTTCTGTACAAGACGATTGTCCAAGTCTCCGTCCGATCTCAGGCTGCCATCCAGTAGACGCCAGAAGAAATCATTGGGCCCGCATCCGCTTGGCAATAACTTCGTGGCATCCTTATTGCCTGAGTTCCAAGTCAATCCCGCCTTTCTGGTGAGAAATGACGACCAAGTGGTGGTTCGAAAGGACTTCCACCTCATTTGGTTTCCCTGACAAATGGTAAGCTATGCGCGTTGGCACCAGATCAAGAAACAATGCCCTGAAAGAACAGAAGTTGCCTTGCGGCAAGAGTCTGATGCCGTTAGTGTTCATGAGAGCTGCCTTCGATTTTGGAGTTTGCGCAAGGCGGTCATGCCGAAGCCCTCAGGCAACGAAACGGATAAAGGACCATTGGCAGCTATGTTGAGAAAAGAGAAGGCCTGCATCGCATGTGATCCCTCAATTGACGAGCGTTGTTGGAGACAACGTTTTCGAATCGGCCGTCGAAACATGGAATGTTTGATTTCTAGAGTTTCTTTCAGCTTTCCTGCATGGGGCATATAAATGCTCTCATTGGCGTTGAGCGTGGGAGAATGCAATGACCGCTGCGTAAGCTTGCAGTTAGAAAAGGAAGCACCATTCACCGTAAGTCTTCTTCACCCACGGAATGAGCTGTGCATGCCGGAGAACATGTTTCAAGAGCACCGCCTCCCAGTTGAAAGTGCTGAAAAACTCTTTCAATATGTCAGGCATCGAATGAAAATCCCAGTTTTGGAAACAGCGGTGTACTAGACTGACGCGGGCCACTTAACGTTTTACTTCATGATTATTCCTGACTACCTACCTACTCTATATTTTAGGACGTAATGCATTCTTTAGTAAGCCAGTGCTCTGACTCGTACTTTTATGTTACTCCATTAAACCTGTAACCTTTTGTACCTCTATTTGCCTTTGATTTGGGTATGATTAGAGTCTAACCACGCTTCAATCACCTAGGCTTTCAAGCAGCACATAGCCTTATTTGTGTTAAAAACTGTTTTAGATGCCTTAAAAACCTCTTGGCTCAAGTTCTAATCATATGAAGATTTATTATTACTATGAATGTCCTCCGTTGGTTATCGTAAAAACAACCATTCCAGTCCATCAGTCTTTCAACGGCTGGCTCAATTACTCCACGCTTGAAATCTAAAATGCTCTCGGGAGGCATTTAGCCCAATATCAATGCTTTTGACGATGGATCTTCTAGCATGTCAAAGTTGTGCCTTGGTTTAGAAGCGGCTACAGAGGTTCGAAGGGACTCTGCTGTTCAAGACCTTTGAAGGGACCAGAAGCTCACATAGATTTTGCTAACCAGAAGCCAAATACCTAGTCTGCCTAACTGACTCATTTGATGACGGAGGCATCTGTCGCATATGGAGAAACCCTCCATAACAAGCCAGGGTTGGGTTGGTTACATACCTGTGCACACCCACAATTATACACAGTTTGACATCGGTCAGCTTACACCTCTTGGATATATAAATGTACCCATGCAGTCTATTGGTTAAGGAAGATTGTGCTGGGGAATCAGTGTGGAACGCCCGGCTATTTGCGCACGGCTACATCACGAGGCTTCGGTGTAAGCAGGAATCCCCGTTCTTTCTGCACTATTGTGCGTTATCTGTGCATCTGTGCTTGCGGCACACCATATTTTAGAAAGGCTTCAGGTTGAGACGGGGCATTGAGCGCGGTCCGCCTGGGTCGCTGACTTCCTCCAATGGCCTTTCAACTTCTTCTAGTATGGTGTCCGGCCCTCTGATGCTAATTACATCGCATTGCCAATTTTGTCTTGATATCGACCGAGCAATTATCCACAATAACTAAGAGGCACAAACTTTCCTTGATTCTTACCTCTCGACGGTAACTCTGTTACTTGAGAACAAATCTCCAAAAGTGGCGCTTAGCCCAGGCTGAAATACATCATGTTTATCTGTCAACTGCTCATACCAGATCTGCCAGCCTGAGAGTTGTTGGGATGCATACTAAATAACAAAAACATCACACCGCTTTATCATCCAAGAAGAATCTTGAGAAAGGAAGATCGATGTTTCAAACCCAAGCCCCAGTTTGTTAGTCACAAACATGCTTATCAAACGGTCTTAGAATACTAGACATGTCAAGCAGCTGCTTCAGGACGCAAGCAGCCAGGCTCTAGGTCTCCTCAAAGCAGGCTTCAAATCTTGGAGTGTTGAATGAATGGCACACAGTTTACAAACATCAGTCTTGTTTATTCTCTATATCTTAACAAATCCCTTTGATATGAACTTGAACAATTCACATGGAAGGTCTGGAGACAGAGCATCTAGGCTGTGTATCGCGACGTAATCATCAATTATATAATGAGTTGCGGAATGAAATTGTTAATGTGTAGCAGTGCGGAGCTGGACGTTATTTACCATAAGAATTGAAAAACTAATAATTGATGGCTCATTAGTGTAGATGGGGATCCTCAATTATCGTCACTAAACGTGGACTATGTTCGCGACTTTGCACCGTATCAAGATGAAGATCGTGGAGTGATGATTGCAAAGTCTCTTGTATCGCATGCGAATCACTCAGCCCAAGATGTGCCGATGTTGGCCTGAGATACGCCTTATACTGCCTGGGCGTGAGTCACTGTACAGCCGTTGAAGGCAGGCATCTTGAAGGCATGCATCTACTCAAAACGTGATTTACGATGTGTTTTTTCAGGCTCACCAGCCGACAAGGCTCCATCCTCCGGCCAAGGTGCTATTTAGATAACTACAAAGGTTCTTTTCTTGATGCAGTCGAATTTTGCGAGGCAATCCAATGCTGCATCCGGCTTGTTTGGTGTCATGTGTGTAGCGGTGGGTGTCTTGCCTTGTCGGGCAAGCAAGTCAGGCTACCTTAGCCCAGTGCACCGATGTGCACACTCCTACACAAACATGCGTCAGCTGAACCTTGGAATGCGCCTCTCAAAACGGTGTGTTCGCATCTGCCATTCAAATGTAAAAGACTTTTAAGGGCCTCGTTGCCCCACTCAGATCTGGTTCCTGCATAGCCATTCTGACCATTTCTTTCCGCCATCATTGCTGTCGCACAAAATGAAGCTTCTCAACGCTGGAAACCGAGAGCTAGAGTCGTTCGACTTTCCTCCTCCGTTCCCATATGCCATCCTCTCGCATGTGTACTCCTCCCCTGGACATGACGAATGGTTTTCATACGACTCGGCCGAGTCGCCTGAAACAAACCGGCATACCATTATCAACAGAGCATGTCTTCTTGCACTCCAGAATGGATTGGATTTTGTCTGGATCGATTCTGTATGCATCAACAAACAGTCAAGTGCAGAGGTTTCCGAGACCATAA